ACAAGTTTAGTTTTATTCGATTTGAACAAAAATAAAGTACTAACTCTAGTTTTACGAGACCGGAAGTGATGCATAGAAACTCACATTTAATGTTAATTTTTATCTAAATGTCCCCGTTTTCGTTTCCAACACGCACGAGTCTCGTGTTATATGAACGTCACGTGACCTATATGGTAGTTAGGTGTCAGGTGTAAGGCATGTGTACCTTGTTTTTATGCTCGTTGCAATTGTTAAATATTCCATTTACTCATATATTACATGTGTTTGTTATTACAGAGGGATCTACTATGAATGCTATGAAAACGAAGATAAACAAGCTTGAAGCTGATAACATGTTACATCTGCAGGTACAGTTTGTTGACACCTGCTATATAACTTTGTAATGTTCAATATAAATGTAATTCACCTTACTCAATCCGTTCTAAAACCAGAAAACCACAAGTTCAAAGTGTATATCTATTTTGAGATCTGTGAATGATTATACAATATGGTGGAATTAAGAGGATTAGACCTCTCGTCTTTATTGTGATTAGGTAACCTGTTACCAAAAAGGCTACCTGACCTAGCCTACCTCATTACATGCGAGTGATCTACATTGTAAACATTATTCTTAGTAATTATGATTTAAGGTTATAAAGAATCGCGATCAACAGATCGAACAGCTGTCGTCAACAATGAAATCTTTAGGTGAGCATCATTTCAATATTTATTAGATGGCATACGCGAATATGAGCTAGTATGATTATCATAGTTGTAAAAACGAAGGAGATCGGAGCAAATAACATATTTGCCAAACAAGCTCGTGTTCTGTAATTCACTGTGCACTCTTCAGAGTTGGGCACCTATGCTGTGAAAGGGTATGCCCATAAGGGGATCGAATCTCAAAGCATGATTTGATTATACACATTATTGTTGCCTGTGCATAGTAGTAAACGTCCACAATCTACCCCAAGTCCTCTCCTTAACTTCACTGAACTTTAAGCTGACACACCAGGATGTAAGTGAAATGCTGTTGAAGTCGGCGTGAACAGTTCATTATACCACAATACCATATAGCAATAGTATATATATGACATTTTGTTTTGTAGAGTGCGTGTCCAGTGTAGCTGTCCACTTTCTGCCTGCCTCAGATGCCCCTTGTCCTGTTCCTCTTCTCTGTAAGTATGTTACATCAGGTAGAGTGTTATTACAACGTTGATAAATTAAACTGATAGACTCTACAAAATCCATACTTGTCTGATGTGACGAGTAGAATGAGATTAACTATATGCAATGTGTGAAGTGCCTGACTGTGCAGATCATATATTGATAGGGTTCACAGTAGTTCGTCCAGTCACCCAAAGATTTGTCAAATCCGCACTTGTTGATGTACATGTCCTTATGCTATTAGGGGCCACGGGAGGCCCAGTCGCCTAAGGCGCCGCAATTCGTTGTGCATAATTGCGTCCCGTGGGCACGCCAAAAACCTGTGATTATGGGTTCGAATCCCGGTTGGCCCCGATTGTTTCTAGGTTGTTAGCACAATACCCGTGCTCGTCCAGTCACCCCAAGATTTGATGTCCTACTGCTATTAGGGGACACGGGTGGCCCCGGTCGTCTACGGCGCCGCGATTCGTTGTGAATTGCGTCCCTTGGGTACGCCAGAAACCTGTGATTATGGCTTCGAATCACGGTTCGCCACGATTATGTTTCAAGTTTTGTCAGCACCATACCCGTGCTCGTGGGTTTCACCGAAGTGGTAAACGTCAGAGACCTGCACCACTTCGGGCTTTCCTCCAACATTAAGCTGACACGCCGAGATATAACTTTAATACTTTTAAAAGCCGTGTTAAACCAAACTCACTCACTCACCCTAATGTTGTTAACTTGTGCTGTAGTGTGTGCACACAAAACTTCACTCATTAACATATTATTACAGGCTTTGAAGGATTGCTTCACACTCACATGTCCCTCGTAATTGACAACACCATCAGTAACATTGCTTATACTCTATGGGATTCGAACTACAGTGTTTGTTGGACTCATTCAGCATTACGTTACATACTCAATACTGAAAACTCTAATTTCCAATTATTCAGCACATATAAACCAGTTCAACATGCCCAATCGACTTACTATATACACATTTATTTTGAGTACTTATATGTCTGACCGTGACCCCTACTTCAAATATATTACATTTATTGTTGGGACACCTGCAGTTTCTTATTAATCATTACTCTAGATGTATCAAGATAATCTATATTTAACGAATACAGCTATGTGATATAGAAGTTCAGTTTACATACTAATATCTGTGTTAATGGGCTGGTTGTCACGACGTTTTGACGCGTATTTCAGTTATAACATAGCGGGTTAACTACAAAAAAACATCGAATGAAAACTTTCTAAATTGAAAAAAACAAACTCAAAACTTATGTATTCTCGACTCGAAGCCGATAGTTTCAGATATTACCAATTACAGAAAACATTGCATCAGTCTTTTCGGATAATTTGAACTGGGTGTTTAAAGGGGCAAATCAGGAAATAAGGTAAAACATGATGATGCGCCAGAGATACAATGTATTTGTGTTGGAAAGTTTACTTTATTTATATTTTGTAGGTATACATCTAAAATATGACAAAGACAGAGCCAATCTCGACAGAGTCCACATCAACACAGAAGGAGACCTGGTCAACAGGAAGTCGGACACCAGACCTGCAAGGGAGGGGAGACTGAAGAAGTACCATGGCTCATGTAGCACTGCCCCCCTCCCCCGGGCTGGCTGTCCCCAGTACTGGGAGATGAAGTCGAGGGTCAGTCTGGACAAACCACTCTCAGGGGACCTACTCATCCTGGAGGTGGGTGTATGTGGGGAGGAGCAGAGGGACGTGCATCATTGTATAGATGGACAACAGAGCTCCTACAGCCTGGTTGTCTCCCGCTGTAATACACACGGCGGGATATGCAGCATGACAGGGAAGGAGGGGAAGGGTGTGCTGTGTCTGCCTGACACTCTCCCCAACACAGCAGGGGCATCACACACACTACATTACGGTGTTGTCTATGATGACACCAGGAAGAAGATTGTTTTCATTGATGTGAAGGAGAATAAAGTGATGTCGACGTTAGACAATGTAGACTCTAGTCAGCCACTGTGGCCAATGTTCGGGGTGTATATGCCTTTATCGGGTAATGTCAGCATGACACTTGTAGTGGGCAGCGACATCAACATGACAGAGGTGAAGAAGGGAATGATTATCAGAGCCTTATCGTGAGAGAGAGAGAAAGAGAGAGAGAGAGAGAGAGAGAGAGAGAGAGAGAGAGAGAGAGAGAGAGAGAGAGAGAGAGAGAGAAATGTGTTAGTTATGTTACACAGTTATTGCATTGTGTTTTTATTTTGAGATTTGATGTAGCTATTGCATTTCGGGGATAGTAGCCGATCAGGACCCAAACGTTGATTAAGTTGGAACATAGTATAAGAGCTTGTCAATCTTAGGTTTTTCCCTATGTCATGTTATGTTTAATCCTTCATTTAATCTGTGGTGGGGAACTGACAGATGAGTGACAGTGAAGATATTTTCCCAATGACTAGGCCGAAACAGGGACAGAGTGATTAGGCGAGGAGTGAGTGAGTTGGGTTTAACGCCGCTTTTACATGTATTTCAGTCATATCACAGCATATCAGCTTTATGTTTACCGCCCAAGGGACGCAACTCTGCACAGCGAATCGCGGCGCCCAAAACGACTGGGCCGCCCGTGCCCCGACTAGGCGAGGAAATGTATAGCTGTATGCAATAAATCACATTAAAGAAAGAAGTAAATCTCGACTATGATTTTAAGAACCCTTACTACTTCGGTGAAACCCACGAGCACGGGTATGGTGCTGACAAACCTAGGAAAATAATCGGGGCGAACCAGGATTCGAACCCACAATCATAGGTTTCTGGCGTGCCCAAGGGATTCAATTCTGAACAGCGAATCGCGGCGCCTTAGATGACTTGTCCACCCATGCCCCGACCAGGCGAGGAAATGGATAGCTGAGGAGAGTTGACTTTCCTTGATGAAAGTAATATTATATGTTAATATTTAAAATACATGTTGCCCTTGCATTATTACATTATTTCATATTATATGTTTTATTATCGGGAAATGTTAATATATATATATATATATATATATATATATATATAATGTAATATGAAGGGAAACATGTATTTTCCCTTGCATTATTACGTTATTTAATTATATATATATTAACATTTCCCGATAATAAAACACAGATGACCTCTGTCACATGCATCTTAACATTTCTGATCAAGCCACAGTAAGCTTATCGACCTGACGCACTTTTATACATTCATTTGTAAATTGTGCATAATGAGACTTCTGTTGAGACCTGCAGCTCTGGTACTTGTGTGACATGTTTGTAGTATTCCCCGTGCCTTATTGACAACACAGCCCCGCAACACAAGAGAAGTTAACATTAGATAACGTGTGGTCTTACACTGTGAGCATGGATAGCTATAACTGATAGCAGTCATACGGAATGTGTACTATAAGTTTAGTTAGGGATCTGTAATGGGCGACGTTGCGTGAGGCCGTGGAATAGGAACGTATTATTTGGTGTTGTGTGCATTGTAAGAGTGTGCCTGCCATTACATATAACACTATTGCTGCAGATGTTTAGCATCTGTAAAAGGATGATTTTGTACATATTAAACTATTTATCTTGAAACCTTCTTATTCCGGATTTCAATTGCCAAGAAACCCCTCTTTCCGGTGGTTCTTCTGATAATGCAATATATAATTAAAGGGACATTACCCTAAAACATATATTCAGAAATGTTGAAATCTGGAAACTTTATCGTTGGATTAACGTGTCCTCACTGTATATAGGTTTAATGCCAGGATTGAAGTATTCAGGGCTGCTTTATCAAGACATACACTAGATATATACGGGTGTCATATATATGCTGGATCCATGTATATGTTTCACCTCTCATCGTTTCAAGTTTACACAGACAGATTATATCTTTAAAACTCACCCATAGCTGCCACTCTGGGACTGAACATGTTTGTACGTGTGTTGCCACATTGGTGTCGATCTACGGAGTTACCTCCCCTGACAAGGAAGCAGCTGCCCATGTGGGGAGCGATCTGTGTCCCCGTGTGACAGACTACAGCCAAAGTGTGGCGTATCTAAAAGCAAGGTATGTCGCGTGTTGTGACGGAAAATCTATGGGTAGATATAAACATCCACATTAAAAGTATGATAACATAGAGGGACAGACAATTTGAGAAATAGAATGTTCCTAGTAACCACATGTAGGGCCAATTTCAGATTCGAACCCCTGACACTCCAAAGGCAAGCAACTCGGCACAAGGAACTTCGACGGCTTAGCCGACTGTTAAAGCAACTCCCCCATGTCTTATGTGAGCTTGGTGTTGTCTAACTTGTTGTTAGAGTTTACAGTGAGATTTCATTTTGTCAATTTTGTCTCATTAGGGAATGCATATGGAAACATAACTTTGTCCAACTCAAAGAAATCCCATTCATCCGAACGGAAGCATTCCCTCAAAACCGACCTGATTAACATATGTCTGGATTAACGACTCACGGTTTTAAAATAATGCTATTTGGTGTCTATGTCTATGTAAGAGTTCCAGGCAATGACTATAATCGTCCACAAAGTGGGTTTTCTGATTATCGGGATCCTGACTTGACAAGTTTCACTGTCTGTATCTGAGAACAATGATACTGTTAAAGTTGTATCTAAATGCGCGTCTCAGGGCTGCAATGTACAACAACCACGCCTAAAGAGAAGGCTGTGAAGCCACATCGTGAAACAGGAAATCTCACAGAACTGCATTGCAATTAGGCCATATTGTGTGAACGACGTTCTATAGACCATGTTAATCATGAACTAGTCATAATGTCCGTCTCGTTTGAAACGTGATAAAACCGAACATCTAATAAATGGAAGGAAAACAACGAAACATTGATTATTGCATACTAAAATGTTCCTTAAAAATTTAGATGCAAAATTGAAAATTCGAAGGAATGGAATAAATACAATAAATACTAAAAAAAAAACTGCTGCATATATATATACAGTCTTGGGTCATGCTTCAGTCGACACGTATCGTACCTGCATTTGTAATAGCTTATACAATCTACACAATACAGACATATCAACATTTCCCGATAAAGATGACCTCTGTCACATGACTGTAACGCAGCTCAGCATTCCTGAACAAGACTTATATCAAACCATTCTATGTCGTGTGACATGTTTGTAGCGTTTCTTGGGCCTGACACGGTTTATCAGCTGTACTGCGAAAAGGTGCGTCTACCCTTGATACTTGCATCTATAAAGGCCTTATTGCCAACACAGCCCTGCAACACTTGCGTAGTTAACATTAGATAACGTGTGGTCTTACACTGTGAGCATGGATAGCTATGACTGATTGCAATACACGGAATGCGTACTATCAGTTTAGTTAGAGATCTGGAATGGGCGACATTGCGTGAGGCCGTGGAATAGGAACGTATTTTTTGGTGTTGTGTGCATTGTGAGAGTGTACCTGCAATTACATATAACAATATTGCGGCAGATATCTAGCATCTTTAAGCGGATGATTTTGTACATAAAACAATATTTATATTGAAACCTTTTTATTCCGGATTTAAATTGTCGAGAAACCCCTCTTTCCGGTGGTTCCTTTGAAAAATGCAATATATAATTAAAGGGACATTACCCTAAAACATATATTCAGTCATGGAATGAAGTATTATCAGTATAATCTGGAAACTGTATCGTCGGCAGTAACGTGTACTAACTGTATATACGTACAGAGCCAAGATTGAAGTATTCAAGGCTGCTTAATCAAGACATAAACAAGATATATATGGGTGTTATGTATATGCTGGATCCATGCATACATGTATGTTTCACCTCTCATCATTTTAAGTTTATACAGACAGAATAGCTCTCTATAACTCATCCACACCTGCCAATCAGGGACTGAGCATGTTAGTACGTGTGTTGTCACATTGCTGTCGTTCTACGGAGTTACCTCCCCTGACAAGGAAGCAGCTGCCCCTGTGGAGAGCGATCTGTGTCCCCGTGAAGTCGACTACAGCCAAAGTGTGGCGTGTCTATAAAAAGGTATGTCGGATCTTGTGACGGAAAATCTAAGGGTAGAAATTAACATACATATTAAAATTTGATAACACAGAGGGGCAGACAGTTTGAGAAATAGATTATTCATAGTGACCACATGTAGTTTGTACTTTCGGTTTCGCCTTGAGGCATGTGCAGCCATGTTGGTGTTATACATGTACTAGATCTAGCGATCTATTGAAACTGATCACCAACCTTCGCTTACCCCACCCCTGTCCCATACAAGCCCTCTCCGCCTATTTACAAACCACAAACTACCTTCACAAACCGCCCTGCAGCATGGCTTCCTTCAGCACACACATGAACACTCATATTTGTCTGTCTGTCAACCGTAACAAGGATATGCCATCCTGTTATCTATTCACGATTCAACAAAACATTTTCGGTCTGACAATTAAAAGTCCCATTGATCAGCTTTATATCAACCATTGCAATGTCAATGAAGCGGTGTGTGGTCTAAGGGACGCAACTCGTGCTTGACATTATGTTTCCCATGCGGTCGGATCATTGAGTTTATTTTCCTGCTCGATCGCGAGGGAATATGTCATATCATGTCAAGTTTCTGGATTCTTTTATTTTCGATTTTGCCTGGGAAGATTGCTTGATAAGTACATTAAAATTATATATTCCATTTATTTTCGGTTCAGCCTTAATTTGTTTTGGATTGTCACATGATCACCACATCCCCGTGTTTCTGGATTCTAAATACAAGGAACAACTTAATGTTATTTGGTAGCCATTAATCAAAAATGACAAAAAAGTAGAATACAAGCATGCTCTCCAATGTGTGTCAGTGTATTATTCAACGGATTACAAGCAGCATGGATGAACTAATCAATTTCATTGATTTCGTTCCCTTCAATTGAACGGTATATGTGTAGACGTGTTTATAAACACGCACGTGGTATTAATAAATATCTCATAGTCGTCATATATATTTCCAACGTATGTATATATAACAAGTTAATTCAGATGTATGAGCATTAAAACACATTCAACAACGAATATGGGAAATATCGTTAAGCATATTTAAATAAATTTATGTATAAGTATAGGCTACAGAAAGCATACTGCGGTTACTTCAATATTCCATGGATGTGTAACAAGACATATTGTGCAGAAAACACGATAAAATCAATAAAGATAATGTATTTAAAGTTTTAAGGACAACAGCGAGCTTGATGCTTTGCGTTTTTCTATGTACGACTGTGAAGTCATATTCTTGGCGTCACAATGAGCGGTATGACGTCATAATAGTGACTTGCAGTGTAGAGCAAAACCTATGCAAGGTTTTCTAACTTTTCTTTAGGAGTGCCCAACCCAAGCTCTCTTTCGATGTTGCCGTGTTACGTGCTTTATAGTATGGTGTAAGCAAACTGCTTAAGCATGTAGAGCGCCACATTTGGTTTAAATGCTGTTGTTGGTGATTCCGTACACACTTATGGACAACCCACTGGAATCAGTGGACTTAACCCATGCCGCGTCACTCACTTTATGGAGATAAACGTTTAGTGTTCCGTTCCAAAGTCAATTTAGCGCGATTAAAATCTGCAGGTAACCTGGCTTTACACAAAACACAGTATATGTATCCCCTAAAAATAGTTGTGCTTGTCAATACTCCTATATTCACTCAGGATCTTTCGCGGCTGAAAGGCTGTCAAGATAACATAACATTGGCGACTCACGACAGCAGTGGAAGTCCTACATTGAGTTCAATATATATAAGTACACTCCCACCATAATCTATTATGGGGCTGATTTATTGACGAATTAACTTCCATAATTTTTGCGTATCTTCACAAACGCAAAAGACTACTCACATGAATTCTTCTAAATGAATATGTTAACAATAATAACTTCACCGACTGCCTATCTATTGATTAACACACACAACAAAAGGCAGTGACATCGTTCAGCCCAATAATGAAACAGAAGCTAACATTCTGTTATCAGCCAATCAGTAAAAATCAGAAAACAGAACACTGTTGGTGGGCGCTGCCTCATTTTTTCGGTTTTTGGAAGCATACCCGAAAAGTAAAGTGCTTCGTTAGCCAATAAAATGCCAAGGAATCACTTTCAATTAATTCATTGATGAATCATGTACATAACTTTGATTAAAGTATTGTTCAATGTATATGTTCATGTGCTCAGTGATTTGAAGAAATTTATTTCACTGTGACCACAAAAAAAATAAACGTCCTCGTTTCACCTTGTATTGTGTGCTTGACCGTCATTCTTGGAACTTTGCTCCTGATATATTCACCGACAAAAGAAACGCGAATACCATACATGTTGGTTAATATGTGAAGAATTACTCCTATTCACGAGTCATTAGATTGGTCGATGCACAAACCAACATACTGTTCGTTGTGTAAACCGACGCTCGTGAACGCATCACGTCATAGATCCATGACTGGAGATGCACCATTTGTTTCGTGAAGGATTAGCGTGTAAAGTCTGGATATCACGTGCAGAATATCGTGATAAGGAGGAAGACAATCCGTGGTAACACTTGACTGATTGTTAGGTTTATTATTACGTGGTACACATTGGAAACACCTCTTCTTATTGTATATACTTCACTAAATGTTTCTATGGATTCGCGTTTCTTTTAGCAGTGATTATATATTTGTACAGATCGTTGATCCAAATAAACCTTTCTGTTTCATTATCTGAATGAATCCAAGCAACTGATAAATTTTATCTCATTATTTGTTTCAAATCACAAAGAAAAATCTATTATTACAAATTAGAATTATGTGAATGATCAAATTCTCTTTCTTGATGTACAAAATACATAATCTTGTAATCTTTATATCATAAGTATTAAAGAAAATATACTTGCCAAAGGTAAATATAATGATTTATATGTACCATAGTGTCATTTCTTTGCCCTATTTTATGAAGTCGCCCGCCCCCCCCCCCCCCCCCCCCCCCCCCCCGACTTTAAAATGAAACTCACAAAATCGTTTATGGATTTGTAATCGTGTATTATTATATTTTTATATTTGTTTAAATATATTTGCTCAGGTAGCTAGACATAGAAGGAAGATATGTAGTTTACGATTGTGAAAAGAAACATCTATATATATTTAATGTGCCAAGGTTTTTTAAGTTTTACTGTATACATGTATAATCAGATGACATGGACGCATTTGATAATGTGATAGAAATTAATTGGAAATACAAAATAATATTTTGCTGTCATCAGATAATGCACGGTAAAAATATAATAAAATCACAATTTCCAAAGTGGTACCTTTGCATGACAAACATGTTTTGGTCATTCACAAATCAATAAACTATAGTCTGTGTATTTGACCAATTAATGTTATTGAACAATTCATCATTTATTGGATATCTAATGTTAGATCTATTTTGACAGTTTCCCTTTCTAAAATATTGGATAAAATGTCATTCACGTCACTAGCCTACCTGCATAAAATCCATATTGTAACGTCATTGAACAAAAACACAAGACGTTTACTCATTGCGGACACAACAGATAATGTATCAAAGGTTTTATCAAAAGATACTGAAGAGTGCATTCTATATCCATCATGTACGAACCTAATATATTGTTGTGAGATTCCACAGGAAACTGTGAGAAACACCACTTGATGTGAAAGGGAATGCATTGGCTAGGCGAGAGTATGGGACATGTATGGTTTGGGGACAGCTTAGGAAGGCAGATCTCAGACATGGCTAGCCAACCAACCCATGGTTGAACTCAATAACGTTTTATGATGACGACGTTTAAGCCCAGTTCATCGCACCTCCAACTCCCCTCTATTCGTATACATGTGTTAAAATAGCATTCACTTTTGCACCTTAACCCGGAAGTGACCTAGCTTTACATACAGGGCGTGGTCTTTGCCGGGTAGGTGCATGGTGGATAGTCTCTGATATTCTAACAGCATATGCCAATTAGAGAATATTGTTCTGTATGAGAAATTACCTGTGTTTACCTAAATCACCAGAATACATTTCATCTGTTACATTGCATATCTTAAACATGTATAAACTTGAATCATAAAACACACGTCTAAAATCTAAACATTAGTGTGAGGTGACAGCGGACCAGTCCTACTTTCGTTTTCAAGCGCCGACATGTTCTAGGACACGACACACTTCCCTGTCCTAGCTCTTTCTAAGCCGCTATTCATGAATATTATGACGACCCCGCGTGGATCGTACTTCAGCACACAGAAATCATACCTTCCATGCAGAATGAACAGCTCATTGTTATAGGATCGATCGAATACACGGATAGCGCAGCATAATAGTAGTTGAAAGGCCTTTTATTGACATGTAAATGTAACATGAAATGTGTCAGGTGAATATACAGGTGTGTGTTTGAGACAAGTTTGACTAACCATTCTTTCTTTTATTTGAGACGAATGGTCAAATAGAGCAGTATATTTGAAACTAATGGGCGAATTGGAAGCGTAGTGGCTACGTGTGTTGTTTCGTTGAATTGGCGAAAATGCGCATTGGATATATCATATCATGCATGACTTATCAATGATGAACATTATTTATTTAATGTTATTTGTTTATTATCTGAAATACCATGCCGCAGTTTAACATGCATACCACACTCAGGAACACAGTTCTTGTTTATATAATATACCATACTTCCTATCTTCCAGTACTGTGCACAACTTGGACATCATAACACTAAACAGGACAATGGCGACTGCAGTGAAGACACCCCAGTGTAGAGTGTGTCACACCTCGCACAAGTATGGTGGACCTGATCCGCACCTCCTACCTTGTCTCCACTCGGTGTGTCAGACATGCCTAGACACTGACAGCCATCATACACTGACGTGTGACATATGCCAGGAAACATTTGATAAAGAACAAACTGATTTCCCTCCCGATGTCGTTGTCATCAAAGATATCTTCCACCAAACTGCTGAAAACGATGGTTCCGCCGTGCTTTGTACCAATAGAGATGACGGCAACCAAGCAATGTCCTGGTGTGATGAATGTGAAGCCTTCTTGTGTGAGCACTGTCAGGCCAGCCATGAATATATGAAGATAACAAGATCCCATGCAGTTGTGACATTGGAACACTTGACGTCTGCTGACGGAGAACCTACTCCTAAGACTGTCTACTGTAAAGAACATGCTGATCATCCTCTCCAGCTCTATGACGAAACATGTAAGCAAAGAATATGTTTCAAATGTAAGGAGAATCATAGCGACTGCAAGGTGAATGACATAGCTACAGTATGTCAACATCTGAAGGAGACGGTATTGGAGGAAGGACAGAAAGGCCTCTCTAAGAAGATAGAAATAATCAGAGCAATCAGGGACCAGGTACATGAAGTTGTCAAGATGTCAGAGGTGAAAGAGGAGGAAGGGAAGGAGTTCTTAAAGCATACATTTTCTGAGCTGAGAAATACTTTAAATCAGCGAGAAGAAGGGGTTTCGCTACAACTGGATCAAAGTTTCAGAGCTGTATATGATATAAATAACTCACGGCTATACAAGTTGGAAATGGAGGAAGCCAAATGTGACACAGCACTTGGTTATTGTCAGAAATTCGCTGCTTTGTCTAGTGTTGATGCACTCTTCAGGGCCAGAAAGACAGTAGTATCCAGAACCAATGAGTGTATTACAACTGAGCTTCCCCAAGTGAGAGATACAGAGGCTGCAGTCACTCTATCTAGACAAGACTTTACTGACATGAAGCAATCGATTTCTTCCTTTGGAGGGTACTACGTACCCATGGACCCTCAGTCAGAAAGTAACCCAGGTAGGATTTGATTATTTCTTGGATGATTAAACAATAAATTGATATTGTAACGAGCTAAAGAAAAGCTAAGTGTTTAGTATCCTGTACATGGAGCTGTTCCATTATACTACATACAGTTTATTAGGAATGTTGAGTTAAATACGAATAATGTCAGTCTCCTTGAGTGAGTGAATGTGGTTTTACGCTGCCTTTAGCAATATTCCAGTACTGTCATTGCGGGGTACAACAGCAAATGTGCTTCACACAATGAACCCATGTTGGGAATCGAACCCGGGTCTATTGCGTGACCTGCCGACGCTTTAACCACAAGGCTACCCCACTCAGTGTCCATGAGCATTGGCCATCATAATAGAGCTCGTTGCTAGTTGCCTTTGTTCCCTGGAGATGATATACTTGTCATCTGGGTAACCAAGTCTGCTGGGAGAAACTGCAGACATACACATCAGCATCACTATAGCTAGTTTTACACAAAGCTTACCATTTTCAGTCATATTCTATGTATTATTTGTGGAAAGAATGTTTCATACCGGACACCTTCCGCCATATTCTGTTATGCGCGAACTACTTTCTTGGCAACCAAGGCATTCGCCATTTTCCTGCCGCTACAGTTTATTTCCTTAGCCCTTGGGCTCTTTACACCGACATATTTAACCCTTGGGCCTCCGTTAGAACTGAATTAGGGTTAGTAGTAGTTGTTGGGTATAGGGTTTTTAATACACATATCAGTAAGTTCTTACCATCAAAGAGCGAATTCGTCCAAACTGTCATTTGTATCAATAGTAGTGCGTGGAGGGCTTGGTCTAACAATATCATTGGCTTCTCCATGGGGATTGTTTGCTCGCACAATGAGAGGTAAGAAGGCAGTGAACTTGTCAGAGACGTCTGAACATTTTGAAAATATTTCTGACAAGTCATTTGTTAACGTTGTCCCCCTTCGTGGAAGTGAACGTTTTTTTGTTTATTGCACGTTTCGACGTTTCTATGTTGATTCTGGAGTGACAACAACCAAGTGAATGAGAGGTATAGATACATGACATGTTCTGATAAGCAGCAGATTAATATTTAGAACAGGTAACAAATAATAAGTAGCACACATGTATTTGGATGGAGTCAAATGTACAGTAAGAATAACAAATAGCACAAGGTAATAAAACACACGGGTAAAAAAGCCAAATGTACAGTAAGTATTAGGATAAAAAGGATTAAACATTGATGACAAGCTGATTGGATCTTGATTAAAATAGTCTATTGCTTGATTAGATCTTCAAAGGCAGACGAGATGTAAAGCCCCTGATCTCTGTTGATCAACGGTTTGTGACGTCACGCAGAAATGGACAAATCAGGAACCACTTACCTTTCAGATATCTCTCATGCTCCGATGTTCCACACCTCAGAAATTCATAGGCAGAAAAAATAACGAGCCATTACGAGTTTAGTTATATTCGATTTGAACAAAAATAAAGTACGAGGTCTAGTTTTACGAGACCGGAAGTGATGCATAGAACTCACGTTTAATGTAAATTTCTATTTAAATGTCACCGTTGTCCTTTCCATCACGCACGAGTCTCGTGTTATATGAACGTCACGTGACCTATATGGTAGGTAGATGTCCGGTGTAATGCATGTGTAAATAATTTGTATGCGCGTTGCAGTTGTTAAATATTTCATTTACTAATTTATTACATGTGTTTGTTATTACAGAGGGATCTACTATGAATGCTATGAAAACGAAGATAAACAAGCTTGAAGCTGATAACATGTTACATCTGCAGGTACACTTTGTTGACACCTGCTATATAACTTGAAATGTTCAACATAAATGTAATTCACCTACTCGATCCGTTCTAAAACCAGAAAACCACAAGTTCAAAGTATAAATCTATTTTTAGATCTGTAAATTATCATACAATATGATGGAATTAAGAGCATTAGACCTCTCGTTTTTGGTGTGATTAGGTAACCTGTTACCCAAAAGGCTTCCTTACCAAGCCTTCCTAATTACATGCGACTGATGTACATTGCATATATTATACTTATTAATGATGTTTTAAGGTTATAAAGAATCGCGATCAGCAGATCGAACAGCTATCGACAACAATGAAGTCTGTAGGTGAGCATCACCTCAATATTGAAAAATGGCAAACACGAATATGTCATATCAAGTATGATAACTACAGTTGTAAAAATGAAGGAGATGTGAGCAAATAACATATTTTGCCAAATAAACTCGTGTTCTGTAATTCACTGTGCAATGTTCAAAGTTGGGCAACTGATCTGTGAAAGGGTATGCTCATTGGAGGATCGAATCTCAAAGTATGATTAGATTATACACAATATTGTTGCCTGTGCATAGTGGTAAACGTCCACAATCTACCCCACCTTCCTCTCCTTAACTTCACTGAACTATAAGCTGACACACCAGGATGTTAGTGAAATGCTGTTGAAGTCGGCGGGAACAGTTCATTATACCACAATACTATATAGCAACAGCATATATTTGACATTTTGTTTTGTAGATTGCGTATCTAATGTAGCTGTCCACTTTTTGCCTGCCTCAGATGCCCCTTTTCCTGTTCCTCTTCTCTGTAAGTGTGTTGCACCAGCGTGATTGTTATGACAGCGTTGATAAATTAAACTGATAGACTCTACAAAATCCATACTTATCTTATGTGACGAGTAGAATGAGATTAGCTATATGCAATGCGTGAAGTGCCAGACTGTGCAGATCATATATTGATAATAATAACCCTAAGCGAAGCAGTTGATCGCTATTGTCGGGCATTATTATCTACATGGAACCAGCCTGACCAGTCACCGTCGAGGCTCCCGTGCACGTGATCGCGAGAATTACGTGTTGACATAGAATCGTCCAACAAAAACAAATATGACTTTGAACGAATCAAAGTATGGCATTTATGATATATGTATCCATTCTCTGTCAACTAAAGTTCGTTTCAAGGCGTTTCACAGTGATGCCTTTCCATGGGGGGAAAACATCAAAACTCATTAATTCGTGTATAATGCGCACCCCCTTCTACACAGCTGTGTTTTTTGGAAAATAAGTGCGCACTATACTCAAGAAAATACGGTAGCTATATGCAATGCGTGAAGTGCCTGACTGTGCACATCATATATGGATAGGGTTCACAGTAGTTCGTCTAGTCACTCCAAGATTTGTCAAATCCACAATCGTTGATGTACATGTCCTAATGCTATTAGGGGTCACGGCTGGCCCGGTCGTTTAAGGCGCCGCGATTCGTTGTGTAGAATTGCGTCCCTTGGGCACGCCAGAAACCTGTGATTGTGGGTTCGAATCCCGGTTGGCCCCGATTATGTTTCTAGGTTTGTCAGCACCATACCCGTGCTCGTGGGTTTCTCCGAAGTGGTAAACGTCTGAGACCTGCATCACTTCGGGCTTTCCGCCCACATTAAGTTGACACACCGAGATATAACTGTAATACTGTTAAAAGCTCACTCAATTACCCTAATGTTGTTGTTTACTTGTGCTAAAGTGTGTGCACACAAAATTTCACTCATTAACATATTTTTACAGGCGTTGAAGTATTTGCAGTTGCTTTACACTCACACGTCCCCCATATTTGAAAACACCATCAGTAACATTGCTTATACTCTATGGGGTTCGAACTACAGTGTTTGTTGGACTCATTCAGCATTACGTTACATACTCAATACTGAAAACTCTAATTTCCAATCATTCAGCAAATATAAACCACTTCAACATGCCCAATCGACTTATTATATACACATTATTTTTGAGTACCTATATGTCTGACCGTGACCCCTATTTCAAATATATTACATTTATTGTTAGCACAGCTGCAGTTTCTAATTAATCATTACTCTTGATGTATCAAGACAATCTATATTCAATGACTATATCTATGTGATATAGAATCGTCGGTTTACATACTAATATTTGTTGTGAATAAGTTGGTTGTCACGACGCTTTGACGCGTATTTCAATCAAAACATGGCGGGTAAACTACCAAAAAAAACCCGTGGAATGAAAACATTCTAAGTGGAAAAAAAACCACCTCAAAACTTATGTATTCTTGAGTCAAAGCCGATAGTTTCAGATATTACCTATTAAAGAAAACATCGTATCAGTCTTTTCGGATAATTCGAACTGGGTGTTTAAAAGGGCAAATCAGGAAATTAGGTAAGACATGATGATGCGGCAGAGATACCATGTATTTGTGTTGGAAAGTTTACTTCATTCTTATTTTGTAGGTATACATCTGAAGTATGACAAAGACAGAGTCAATCTGGACTACGTCCACATCAACACAGAAGGAGACCTGATCAACAGAAAGTCGGGCAAGAGACCTGCAGGGAAGGGGAGACTGAAGAAGTACTTGGGCTCAAGTAGCACTGCCCCCCTCCCCCGGGCTGGCTGTCCCCAGTACTGGGAGATGGTGAACAGGGTCAGTCTGGACAAACCACTCACAGGGAACCGCCTCATCCTAGAGGTGGGTGTATGCAGGGAGGAGCAGAGGGACGTACATCATTGTATAGATCAACAAACCAGCTCCTGCTGCATGCAGGTCGCCCAGTGTACTACACACGGCGGGATATGCATGCGGACATGGAAGGAGGGGAAGTATGTGTTGTGTCTGCCTGACACTCTCCCCAACACAGCAGGGTCATCACACACACTGCATTACGGTGTTGTCTATGATGACGCCAGGAAGAAGATTGTCTTCATTGATGTGAAGGAGAACAAAGTGATGTCGAGGTTAGACAATGTAGACTCCAGTCAGCCACTGTGGCCGATGTTCGGGGTGTATAACCCATCTCGCCTCACTGTCAGCATGACACTTGTAGTGGGCAGCGACATCAACATGACAGAGGAGAAGAAGGGAATGATTCTCAGAGCCTTATCGTGAGAGAGAGAGAGAGAGAGAGAGAGAGAGAGAGAGAGAGAGAGAGAGAGAGAGAGAGAGAGAGAGATTTGTAAGTTATGTTACACAGTTATTGCATTGTTTTTTAATTGTGAGATTTGATTTAGCTATTGCACGTCGGGGATAGAAGCCGACCAGGACCCAAACGTTGATTAAATTGGAACATAGTTTAAGAGCAAGTCAATCTTAGGTTTTTCCCTACGTCATGTTATGTTTAATCCTTCATTTAATCTGTGGTAGAGAACTGACAGATGAATGACAGTGAGGATATTTTCCCAATGACTGTGCCGAAACATGGACAGAGTGACTAGGCGAGGAGTGAGTGAGTTGGGTTTAATGCCGCTTTTAACAGTATTTCAGTCATATCACAGCATGTCAGCTTTATGTTTACCACCCAAGGGACGCAACTCTGCACAGCGAATCGCGGCTCCCAAAACGACTGGGCCACCCGTTCCGCGACTAGGCGAGGAAATGGATAGCTGTATGCAATATCTATCTATATCAGGACGGCCGGCATGTAGTCCATTCTGGATCAGGCAAACAGGACTGTTTTATATGTATCCCATGATACCCAATCATTCGATGTAACCACCCGATCCTCATAATAACCAACTCGCGCTTAAGACGGTATACTGAGGACATGTTAGTAGTATACCAGGCTCATTCAGGACCGGACCTAGCAAATCCCCATATGACGTCACAGGTCATGGGTCAACCGGAAGTGACGTCATAACCGGAAGTGACGTAGCATGAGGATTATGGGTAATAATGAAGACAGGAAATGACGTCATAACCGGAAGTGTATTCTGGGAATGAAGATGGAAGTGACGTCATAGCATTTCCGATTTAGTGTGTCTGACGGTTTGGTGAGAATGAAGTGATAAAATGGCGTCTCGTGTAAGAAATGACGTCTGTTGGCCAGATGTGTGTGAGACGGGAAAATGGCGGACATGGGTATCGAGAAAGTCGTTTAGTAATAGAGACGGACGTCGTACATGTTAAAAAATAATGACAGTCTCGCTACATAATGGTCGGACATGTATGTTGTATACCCCTAATAATAGTTTGATCACAAATGTGTACAAATGAACGAATGTATGTATAAAAATGGATGCATTTGTGTGGCTGTATTTGTGACGTTTATTAAATCGAACAATGTCTTTGCTAAATACATAATGTAATGGGGTGTTTCTTACATGCAAAATACATCGCATGCAGGATAATCAAGACGAATCATCATGTTTTCAAGTTTTCTTTCGTTTTATTTGGTTGGTCCTTATAAGGACCTTTGAACGGAAGCGTATACCGGAGTTATACGTTTCTAAATACCATCTTCATATACGAGCAGTTAGGTGAATATCGCCTGTGTTCTGTGACGGGACTGTCCGTACTTTTCCAACGATACAATTTAACTCCGCAATGAAAGCACTGTACCCGATCGTTAGTTCCGGTGTAGAAGAATCCACTCATTGCCAGATCCAGGGGAGTTTGTTTCATCTGTATAGGCCATCGAATAAATGTATCAAACCGATCTTGCATATACTTCATATTGGGTCTGGCAGGTATATCCAAAGCGTCAGTGTGGAAAAATAGATTGCAGTCACAGGAATCAAGGCCCGAGTCGTCATTGCTATCCGTATTAGACATCCTTTCAGCGCTGCAGTCAAACTAGGAATGACGATTTTAGCCAAGGCGTGGCAATAGAATACGTCAGCTACGTTTTAACCAATCAGCGATCAGCTAAGCTGCTGTCGGGTCACTGTAGTCGGACCCTTGGAACAGTTAATCCTTAACACTACTCAGGGATTAATGGCGAACGGTCATCCCGCTATCTAACGGTAATGAAATGAAGATTTTAGCCAAGGCGTGGCAATAGAATACGTCAGCTACGTTTTAACCAATCAGCGATCAGCTAAGCTGCTGTCGGGTCACTGAAGTCGGACCCTTGGAGCAGTTAATCCTTAATACTACTCCGGGATTAATGGCGAACGACAGTCCCGCTATCTAACGGTCAACAAATCGGACATGTTATCTTAACGCTGGTGTGAAATACTCAGTAAGGAGTTGAAATAAAACAAACACGCTCTTCCAAGGTAGCATAATCCCGCATCGGGGGTCCGTCCCAGTATCTTATCGTCATCGGATTAAGATACCTGGAGTACATCCACGCTTTCAAAGTCTTAAGCCGATTAATAATCGCAATCCCACATCGGGTCCTTCCCAGCTTGCTACTATACATTAAAGATACGCAAATCACATGCACGCTTTTAAACAAAGGTCTAGTAATCTTAAGACGAGTAATACTCATAGTATACTGACCATACCGGACAGACACAACAGATTATAAAATTAATCCGCAAAGAACTTGGTGTTCTGCTAATCAACAACCGCGATAATATACAAAACGCTATCCAGTGGCGAATTCTTATCAACACTTTATGGGGACTTTGAAGAAGCCAATATGTGTGAATAACACATTTTAATAAAGCGTACTGCTGTATAAATAGGTACAATCCAGTTCTACAGACATTCGTGCTTCATACATTAGTCAGAACTTCGTGAATACTCGTACAACTTTGCAAAGAACGGCCATTTAGGAGAAAAAAAAGTTGCTATCTGTTTGGACTTCATCGATAGGTAAGTACTGTTTTCGTTGTATATTACATTGTCGTATGCCTTGTGTGTCATTTGTTCATTATTATCAAAATAACAAATAATGTATTAAGTTCAACGCTTTTTATTCCAATACCAAGATGTTACAATAGCATCATTCACTGTACAATCGTCATGAAAACGTTTAAGAACAGTATTCATACTGTTATGTCTACATCTATAATACAAATAATACAGACAAAAGAATCCACACGTGGTGCTGGTATAACACTGGAATCGCCTATTAGAATACCTATACATTTTATAGGCATACAAATCCTTGAACATGTTTAACTCTTCGTAAAGGTGAGCATTATCTAAGGAAAAGGAATCGAAACATTCAACAACACCAGCTCTAGGTATGTAATAGGCCAGCCAATGTAATCCGCCATGACTGCTGTCGGCTGTGTTCACTATGTAAGCGGCTGGTAGTTGGTCTTGAAGATGTGTTTCTAGCAAGTAATCCCTAGGTAGCGTGCCCTTATACACCTTGTTAAGAACCATGTCATTCTTCACAAACTCGTTGATATCAGATGTATATAACATAGCTATGTCATTATAACGTTCCTGAATGAATCTATTTCTATGACATTATCGTATTCTTGATAACATACTAACGTCAGTGGCTGCGCTAAGGGTTCAGAAAAAAAATATCTCAATTCCAACCTTTCCACTGTGTTTCAAATAACTATGACCTTCGTCGGCTCCCAAATCGTGAGAAAAGTCTATAACATACAGCGCAAATCCACCTTTAAACTGCTCTGGTGTTATGCTGTGTCCTGCATTTCGCCACAACCCACCCGAGTTACGGAATAGTTCCAAGTAGGTTTCGTAAAGTCTGCTGCTGTCAGCGCCGTAGTTCACCTCTAGTGTTTTGCCGTGAACATGCTGACCGTTTAGTTTCACTTTCAATGAAGTCAGATTAAAATTGTCAAAATTATACGGGTTCTTGCTTGCTGTACCGGCGAATGCGCTGTTTTCTACGAGTCCAATCACTATTCGCTTCGGCAAATCACCAGCTACTAAATGCTCGCTGTGGTAATCTCTAACACCGGCCGATATGTCGTGCGCTGTTGTCTTAACGCGGCTAATCGGGTATTTAACGGTAGTGCCTTTCTGCAGTGTCTTTATATGTAATTCGCGAATTTCTGGTGATATTTCAACTTGTCTGACGTAAAATTCGGCCCGTGATATTTCTCCTCTATAGGCTCGACCATCCTCCGGGTGCATTAACCAAAACGCATTCGAACTCCTCACAAGCTCTAATTTTATGGGGACGCCATCTATCAAATATCTTGGTTGTAAAAATATATCGCAGTGGAGCCGCCCTACTAATTCCACTTCATTTGTGGGTACTGTTAGATGCCATCGTTGTTTCATGCCAGAGTTACATCTCTCCTGTGTCATGTTCACATCGTTCATTTTATTAGCTGTGTCGGTATACCACCCTTCACATTTCATGAAACTGTCCATTGATTCTTTATTGTAAGAGAGTAGGTTTTCAATGTAGGATCTGTACGGGTAGGTTCCTAGAGACGGCGTTACTTCAACTTGGTTTTGACCCATGTGAACTCTTACTTCGCGGAATAAACTGTGTAAAATATTGTTCACGGGTCCGACGCAGTCTGCGGGTGATGCGTTATTGGATCCATGGGCTCTTTCGTGTGTATCCGAACCGTCAGCCTTAGTTATTTTAAAGGTCACTCGTAAATAACATTGCGCTAAATCTATGTAACTGTTAACAGGGTTTTGTATATCGAATCGGATGGGGCCATCACCTACAACGGTTGTGGTAGGACTGTATCGTACCCACTGACTGTCTGTCATGGACGTGACGACTCCCGGCACAGAAAATAAATCTAATTCCGACTTGGTACATTCGTAGGCCTCTGAACGGATCATAGTCTTTTTCTCTTGGTCTTTCGTTTTCTCTTTAATGGAGTAGGTTGTATTGCTCTCTCGGCAGTTTGAACACTTTCTGACAAATATTCCCCTGCTCGCCTTTTTAAACTTCTTTTTGGGCTAACACCATCTTCTACTACATCCTGGATCACGTGAGATAATTTTCTAGCTCCTGTTTTCAGAGCATGTCTACCTATCGATTTCAGCATGGGAAGGGCCACTCTCCCCAATGCTCCTAAAATATTACCCAAACCACCCCCTCCTTGGTAGTATAGGCCTCTATACACGGGTATGTCCCCGCCTATCTGCATTCGAGAGCGCCTTCGTCTACGATGTTGACGTAACATTATGCTCGTTTCTTTTTAAAATGTAGTATCACCACCGATCTACCGCTTTGAAATGATACGGGTTCCCCTGCGTCATCTCTTATATGTATTGTAATATTCCGAATATTATCGTAGCGTAAAGGAACGTATTGCACAGGGTTGTAATCTTTTACGTATACAAAGTCATCCAACATAGCTTTGCTGATCGGAACATGGGTTAATAATGGCGCAAGTACGTGGCCCACGATTTGATCTTCTATCAAGTCAGTGTAAATATATAAGTTGTGAAAGGTGTGATCTTTTATTGAATACAACGGTAGCGAGGCTGTTTGGTCGTGTGTATATAAATGGTATACTTTTTCATCAATTGCTGTAATAAATCCTAACAGTCGCGCTAATACAGGATGTAATGTAATAAGCACTCCATAAAGTCTAACATGTTTAAATTGGTCTACATCGATGTTTGGGATGGGTGGAAATTCAAAATTCACTGTGTTATTTTTAATGACCAGAAACTCCCATTCGGCCGGGTAGTGATAAAAGTCTGTCGAACTACTAGAATTTAATAATTGTAGATCTGTTGCAATGGCTTTCTGAAGAGAGCGATTCACGGTAGCAACCAACTGACTACCCGTGTAGTGCCCTTCATCAATGTCTGTCACCGTGGAATGCGAGAAAGTTTCATCTTCGTTGTCTTTTCTACCGGCCACAATTTTGGACATACATTTACCTACAAAAGTAATTTGTAAGGAATTGAAAGGGTGTCTCACGTTTTGCCATGTAACGGGAATTTGAACTTGACTTACACCAACTTCCCATTCGTTTCTGTTGAATTGTAAGGGATAGGGTAGATCAGTTGTATATCTGTTGGCTTTATTGCTGGGTCTATTGTCCATGGAAGCATCGCTGGGTAGTGTTACGTAAAATTCGTTATGACTAGACCCCATCGTGACTGTCGGTACTGCCTGAATCAGAACTAGCAACGTGGCTTGGAACAGGGGTGATGGTGGGATTAGGTAATAAATAACCCAAACAGCTCGACAGGAGAGCTATCCATAGCTGTTGCTTGGGAGAATCCTTTTCGTCTTTGAAGAACATAAGATTAACTAAGCAGCTTATAAGTACCGTAAATATCGCAATAATCTGTACAGCAAATACCACGGCACTCTTGCGTACGGTTGATCCCCAGCAGTTCCAATTATTAGACATCTATTATGTTATTTTCCGGTAACCACTGATTAAATATCTTAGGGTATCCTTTCCAAGAAACGTATGTTTCGGCCACACCCGTTTCAGGATTAATTCTTCTCGACAGTATTTTATCTATCTCGTAAATGTCCGGTTGTTGTACTGGTTGTAACTCCTGACGGTAAAACGTACCATCTAATGAGTTTCCTGCATAATCCTCCAATTTATATACAACCGGCTGTCTACCCAAAACGACTCTACTTATATAAAACACCTCCCGTGTCCAGTTGGATGTGTAACCCTTTTCAAACACATTTTTACTTTTACTAATTCTAACGGGGCACCTTGCTTTCAAAGGTAATATTTTCTTATCTGGTTTTGTTGATGTTTTTGTGGAGTCCTTCATGAAATCCAAAATGCGTATTTCAGTTACGTAGTCATTTGGTTGGACGTCTTTAGGGCTTCTACCTATAGTTCTGTGATAACTCGAATTGTAACCACGCACCAAATGCTGTAGAATATCTATGTATCGTTTTGAACCGTTTCTAGTAAAGTAACGCCACATACGTTTTTTCAAAGTTCGCTGAAATCGTTCTACTACAGCACACTTTGTGTCAGGGTTTTGACTGGTGTAATAATAAGAATGTAATTCATTAATCACGAAGGATTTAAACAGTTTGTTATTGAATTCACTTCCTTTGTCGCTTTGAAGGCTCTCGGGAGACCGCGGGCTTGACCGTTTTAATATGCGTTTAAACGCATTTAGCACATGTAACGGTTGTTTACGTTTCAAGGGTTCTACCCATGCCATTTTACTGAATACATCTATAACGCAGAGAATATATTGATAACCGTCATTTTCTGAAGCATCAGATGACATCACTGTTAAGTCCATTTGCCATAGTTGATCTACTGTGCATATAGTAGATCTGTACGTATCTCTAAGAAATGATTTACGTACATCCTTGTGTAAAGTGTAGGTTTGTTGAGCCTCTAGCCACTCTTGTACCATACTCGTATTAGGTTTATTACTTTTTTTCGCACGCTTTATAGCAGCCATAAGTGGTCTTACAGAGCCATAACTAGCAATATTATTCTTATCGTAATAAACACGCTTTAACCAAGCTTCCCAGCTTTTACTTAGAGTACGCTGCTTCCCACGATAGGCGTTTTTTCGAACGCTTACTCTTTTTCGATTTTGGTGTAAATGTGACTTCATCGTCGTCGCTAGGTTTGTATTTAATTTCACCTTCAAGTTCTCTCCACCTATTTCTGTTACCAATCATTTCCCTACTGAGCCCTTCTTCCTTTAGTAAGCTTAGAACGGTGTTCCATCCTCTAGGCGGGGTAGCTACTGTCTTTGTTCTCGATAAGTCACGTACTATATCTACAACATTGTGACCTTCCATAGGTTGTGCATCCAATGTTAATCTACCTAGATGGTCCCATCCTAAACGAGGGTGTTTTGTAATTCTGTTCAGTATAGTTAAAGCAGTATTTCTATACGATTTTGGTAAAGCCTGTAATGTGTCTGTTACCACATTAAAGTCCAAATCACCGTTTTGTGTGGACGCTTCATGCAATGACGAGGCTTTCCCTGAGTTATTCTCCTGTGTTCTGGCTATGTGTTGCATGTTCAACGCCTTTTCTAACAAATCATTATACTTTTGTATACGGTCATAGGGTTTATCGGATTCTCCCAGCACATCCTGAATATCGTGTAAATTGTTTTTTCTAGACTGGGTTAACAAGGCATTCTTGTTCAGTACACCGTTATGTGTCGTCTGAGTCAAACGCTCGTACAAAGAATAGGGAATTAATATCATACGTTTAGAAACGTCCTTGGACATCACGACACGATTCCCGTAAGTATTTTAATAGCCAGAGGCGCTAACACAGAAGCTAAGGCTCCAATAAATCCTCCTTTTTGCTGAAGTATACGTTTTTTCTCTTTAACCGTTACGGTCTTTCGACTCAAGCGCTGTAATTTTGATCTGTACCTGAGCAGCTTTTCCCTCTGACTACCGGTCATAGGAAGGTTACCCTTAAATATATTAACAGCAACTTCACTGAGGGCATCTATAACCTCTTTGGGCAGCTGTCTAAGTATACTATTTCTGACGCGGGGAGTGGTTCTACATACAAAATGTAAAATATCTGCATTCTTCTGAACCTTACTTTTATTCATGATGACTCCCAGGGTTTCACCGGTGGAATGACTAGCTTAAGTCTGCGGGGGTTATAGGCGCGAGCTGTATTATATACTTTCTCGGACTTCTTTTTTATCACGTGGTCACTTGTTTTGGTATCAATATCAGCATGGGTAGTAGTAGTAGTATTATCATCATTAAAGCTAGATTCATCGCTAATGTCAGTCTGGCTACTACTCATTTCATCTTCTGAACAGGAAGAATTATCGCTGCTACTGCTATAATCGTTACTATCACTACTATCGTCCGTGATTGACCCGTTGTCATGACAACAGCTCATCTTCTTATGCGCGGCTATCCACGACATGCAGCATTGTTCCCTGTCGGACATGTTTGAAGTAAATGGTATGTACAACTTGTTTCCACGCTTATTTATACGGGAAGGTATATATCACACGATCCGTCAAATATATTACTTCTTACCCTCAATTCATCCGATACAGTTGGAGTCAAATCTAACAGAATATATGTATATGGCATTCTTGTTGCTTTATAATATGCATCTCGGATATATGGTATTTTGGTGGGAAATACTTGGCGCGCTAATGTTTCGATCTGAGAGCTATCTCGAGGGTTTTTGTAAATAACCATATGTGTACAATTCAAACTTATCGATCTGTGATGACGTGTTTTATTAAATAAATTTTGTTGTAAATATATCAACGCCACGTTTCTATGACTCGATTTCTTTACAAACCACCTCAGAAGTTCTAATTCCTCCTCAGAGGTTATATCACCCAGAAAGTCATCCACGACTAACCAACTATTATTTTGAATGAATCCCTCCGCTTCTACCACACTATGCACGAAAAATATAGAGACATCGTGTCTTGCGCAAACATTCGATATTTGATCGTACAGAGGCTGATGTTCGCTGAATACCCATACTATGACATCTGGTTTATAGCACAAAGGAAAATCTCCATCAAAACTTTGCAATAAGTTATATACAAAGGTGGTTTTGCCCGCACCACTACATCCACTGACGAGCAGACGAAAAGGGTGTTTGAACATAATAGTATCCCAGGAAACAAGAGTATGACCAGCCATGTCAAGTACCTAATCTTTAATGCTAAACGCTAGTCATATATACACCTTTATAGAAATATGAATAATAAAGAAGTACGACAAGGAGTAAATAAAACAAAGTTTATATACATTATGCACAAGTACAGGTTACACAGGAGTAGGACCCCATACGGACAGGCCGTTTGGGTTACATTCTGGACACATAAAATAACCAAACTGGTTCATGTGATCCTTCTGCATGTAGCAGGGCACAACGTTCAAAAGTTCAGACACAAAGTCCGGCATGACGATAAAGCAGTTTAACAGCTGCTTCATCTGATCCACATCCAGCTTGATTCCCGGGCGCTTGTAAGGTTTGACGACGTTTTGCTTTCCACACCAATACCATTTGCGTATGTCCAGTCCAGGGTATGTATTATCCATTTCTGCATACATATTTCCTCCTAGATGACATTTCAATAGTCCACCGCTTTCCATTGTTTCTTCAATTCTAGCTTTGTTTGACACAAGCTCCATCCAGCGCTGTAACGTTAATGTGATCCCTCTTTTCATAGGAAACCATCTTCCTCTTTCTTGGGTATATTCTCTGATGTGTATTTTCATCTTTCCATGCCAGAACTTTGCCACCACAAAGACGTTGTTTCCAAGAGCCAGTTGGCATCGTTGACCATCTTCTGAGAACGTTGCTGAACTGTCTGACATTTTCAAGCTGATAATAAGGTACAGTATACAGCTTTACTTATACCCCTTGTATGAGTTGTAGGCATGTTCTGACACGCGGATCTTGCTGAGATATGCAGCCATGGTAAAAGATAAGATATGACTACTTGTAGATATCCCTACTCCGTGCCATTGTGATAAGAGGATCATTTATACCCACCTAAATTATCAGCTTTGATAAGAACATCTGGGATACCTAGCCCATGTCGCAAGGGTAAGCCGTTTAGCAAACACACACGTTGATCTCCAACTACAACGTGTCTGGTCCAGCACTCAGTGGAAAAAGATTAGTGACTGGCCATTGTATTTTGCTCATTGTTTCCTACCTTGTATGCTATTCTCATTAATAATAATATAGAGTATTATGTTTTGCCCTCTACATATCATGTACACACTATGTATACGTACTACCAGTGGGTCGTTTTCAGCCCCTCTAGTCTTGAAGCATTACACACATTCACCACATGTTGTAACATGTTTAGAAGGTCACGTGATAGCGTAGGCATATAAATACATATTCACCATGTTTTGCGACAACATTGTAACGCAACAGTTTGAGAGTATTGGCGTATTATATATCTCAACAATTATCTCTTCAGCTTGAAGACATCATGGCATCGTTTCATCGCGACGGAGATTCCCAACTTCTAGTTCATCATCTTGAGGAAGTAGAACAGCAACTCGAACAGGAAGAAGATGAACTTTTGGTCAATCATTCAGTCGAGGTTGAAGAGGAGTTATCCATGGTGCAACATTTGGATCAAGTAGAGCAGGAAGTTAAAGACGACATGTCTCTACTTGAACATTTGGAAGAAATAGAGGAGGAACTGGCATTAATTCATCATATGGATGACGTGGACCAACAGCCCGAACAGCAAGGAGGGGGAGCTGTTCCACCTTATTTTTTAAGGCGTGTGACCAGGCAAAGGGCTCGACGATTTAGAGCCAATGCCGTTAATTTTAATGTGCAATTTAACCCTGCCTGGTTGCAACAACAGAGACTCGAGGATTTACCGCAGGCACTTCGGGAGCAGTTTGATAACATCATTGAGGAACTAAGGATCGATGTCAATGGGCAAGATAACGACCGGGTAGGACTTGCCTTACACCATCCAGGATTAAATGTACCCATTCGCATTCCATTTCGGCGTTTGGGCGATTTGCGTGGAGAAGATATCATGGCTATGGTTGAAAAGGTACATCAAAGCAATGACAATGCCAGAATTGATGCAGCCATGGACATTGACTTTCTCCATGTAGAGGACCCGGATCGCCTTGGCGAAGGACGAGGCCATCGTTCAAAGCATAGTCCCAAAAACCTGGATACATTTTTGGAACAGAAAAAGTGCATCGTAAGAATAAAGAACCAGGACGATTTATGCTTTGCGAGAGCAATAGCTGTTGCTCTCCATTATGCTAAAAGACCTGCACCATTTCAACGGCTGGATCCCATTTGCAAAGCATGGGATACAAGAAGAACTGCCTTAACAAGAACCAACAGGACTGATGTTCAAAAACAGGAGGCAGTTAGGCTGTTTAGTGAAATTGGGATAGAGCCTGGGGCATGCACCGGTAGGGATACTTGGACTGTTTTCAGTGATTACCTGGCACCGGAATATCAGCTGAAAGTATATTCTCAAGAAGTCTACAATAAGCTTTTGTTCAAGAGTGCAGTGGAAAACCCCTCTAAGATCATTCACCTTTACCACCACAATAGCCACTATGATGTGATTACATCCATGGCAGCTTTTACCGGGTACAGTGAATATTGTGAAGATTGTGACGTGGGCTTCAATAACAAAGAAGACCATCGCTGTACCAGGGAATTTAGATGTCATCAATGTAGACGTCCTGGCTATTGTGGTAAAGGTGAAAAGGAAGGCATTCCATGTCTCGATTGCAAGAGGTGGTTTCCAACAACTTATTGTTACCAGCGACATCAAGAGATGTATACCAGCAAAGCTGGTATTCCAACCAGTACTTGTCAATCCCTGCATCGGTGTACCAGCTGCAATCAAGAGCACAATGCCTATGCACATACCTGTTCTGAACGGCGCCTTTGTAAGAACTGTAAGGAACCCCTAACCCCAAAACATCTGTGCTACATTACACCAATGAAGGAAGACCAAGGTACTACATCAAACACTGCAGATCCTGTCCATGAAAAACAAAAGTTTATATTTTATGACTTTGAATGTCAACAGGAGACGGGAGTGCATGTCCCTAACTTGTGTGTAGTACAGCTTGGATGTGGCAGGTGTATTGGGGATAAATCTACCAATCTGTGTGAGGGGTGTCCTTGGAGAAAGGAAGATGAAGGGCCTTCACGAACGAAAGTATTTCGAGGAGACAGCACTTTGGAGGACATGGGAGGGTGGCTTCTAACCCTTGTTGACCAGAAACGAAGCAAGAAGAGGAAGAGGGATGCTCCAAACTCGGCTTTACAGGAAGTCTTAAATGTCTTGGATGATGATGATGATGAGGAAGACGAAGATGAAGTATTGGTCATAGCTCACAATTATCGAGGATATGATGGCCATCTGCTGCTACAATATTTCAACAAACACATTGTGGTTGCTCCACAGATTGTACTCAGAGGCCAGCAGATACTGATGATGAAAGTGGGACGATTGACCTTCAAAGATTCTTTGAACTTTCTCAGCATGCCATTGAAATCATTTCCAAAGACATTTGGGCTCTCTGAACTGTCAAAAGGATACTTCCCCCATTTTTTCAACACAACAGTCAACAAGGATTATGTAGGAGCCTATCCTCCCATGGACACCTATGGACCCGACAGTATGTCCTCAGGCGAACGGGAAACTTTCATCAAATGGTACGAAGAGAAAGTTTCCTCCAATGCCATATTCAACATGTCTGAGGATATACTGTCCTACTGCCAAAGTGATGTTGATATTCTTAGAAGAGGATCTGCTGCTTTCCGTGACGTATTCATCGGGCAAAACAATGTGGATCCATTCCTAGAGGCAACAACTCTTCCTATGGCGTGTATGCTTGTATTCAGAAAAAACTACCTGGATCCTCAAACCATTGCCATCATACCACCTCATGGATACAGACCGGAGAGACGCTACTCAATACAGTGTCTCCAGTGGTTAAGATGGTTAATGCATGAGGATCAAGATCTCAAAATAGAGCATGCACGCAATGGAGGGGAAGCAAAGTTTCTTTGCTCGGATGGTTCTCGTTATAGCGTTGATGGCTACGACAGGGAAAGCAAGACTGTCTTTGAATTCATGGGCTGTTTCTGGCATGGCTGCACAAAGTGCTACAAGGCTGTACGGTGTGAACCACATCCCACCCTCGGAACAACCATGAGAGAGGTATATCAAAAAACACTGTATCGCCTTGCTGTGCTAAGCCAACACAAAGACGTGGAGAAAATTGTCCAGATATGGGAATGTGAATTCAAAGACAGTCAGAAAACAAACCAAGAGTTGAAAGGATTCCTATCCACCTTTGAATACCTGACAGATCCCTTGGATCCTCGCGATGCATTCTTTGGTGGAAGAACCAACGCCACAAAATTGCATTATACCGCCCAAGAAGAGGAAGAAATAAAATATGTAGATGTGTGTTCCTTGTATCCATACATTTGCAAGTACGGAAAATTCCCCCTAGGTCACCCCAAGATTGTGGATCATCCCCATGTGTCGCAATTGAATCACCTAGAAGGACTCATCCGGTGTCGCATTCTTCCACCATCACAACTGTACCATCCCTTATTACCCTACAGAGCTGGTGGGAAACTAATGTTCCCTCTGTGTAGAACATGTACAGATGGTCAGATGGATGGGGAATGTCGTCATACGGATGAGGAACGAGCATGGGTGGGAACCTACACAACCATTGAGGTGCAAACAGCCGTACGCGAGTGTGGATACAGGGTTCTGCACATATTCGAGGCCTGGCATTTCGATAATTTTTCCGAATATAGCAGAAGTACCCATCAAGGAGGATTATTTGCCAAGTACGTAGATAACTTTTTTAAAATTAAACAAGAAGCCAGCTGCCTCCCTGAAGGATGTACCGACCCTCAAGATTACGCCCATCAGATATATGAGAAAGAGGGAGTTACACTCGACGTCAACCGGATTATGAAGAATCCTGGGCTGCGGGCATTGGCAAAAGGATGCTTGAATAACCACTGGGGCAAGTTTGGGCAAAGGCTAGGTTTTGGAAAAGCGAGCTATGTGACAGAGCCAGATCAATTCTTTGGCATGTTGAGAGACGAGCGGCATGAAGTCAAAGATGTCCTCATTGTCAACGAAAACATGCTGTTCGTCTCCACTGAACCAAGGAAAGACTTCCACAGTTCGCATCCTGCCTCCAATGTCGTCATCGCTGCCTGGGTTACAGCACAAGCCCGTCTCAAATTGTACAGGTAAGCTATTGCATTTATTAAAATTACTATTTTGCTATTATATAGATTATAATTTTGTAATAATTTGGTTTCAATATGAATTAATTATACGAGTATTTACATGCCATCTTTCTAATTTGTCCACAGCTACTTGATGCCACTTGAGCGGAGGGTGCTGTACTTTGACACGGATAGCATCATTTACGTCCACAAGGCTAGTGTCTGGAATCCACCTTTAGGAGATACTTTGGGCGACCTGACCGATGAGCTGGATGGCAACACTATATCTACGTTCGTGTCAGGTGGCCCAAAGAACTATGCCTACAAATTAGTCCGACCTACTAAAGACGGGACAAGGACCGTATGCAAGGTTAGGGGGTTCACGCTGAACTACCGTGCAAGCCAGCAAGTCAACTTTGACACCGTGAAAGAACTCATATGCGGCAGACAGGAGGAGTCAATAAGCGTGGACTACCCTAACCTCATCGTACGAACAGGATTCAATCAGGGCAACCAGTTGTTGTCTGTCAGCACAGCCAAGAAATACAGGATGGTGTACACAAAGAGACGTGTGCTGTACGACGACAATGGATTGCCCTGTGAAACCCTACCATACGGATGGAAGACATCGCCGTGATAGACTAGGATAGACTGTGATGGACTGAAATAGACTGTGTGAAAGACAAAACAATCATTTTCCCACACTGAAATCGGCCGTGCCACACCTCAACGTTGGTGTGTGGGTGACAACATGTTTCATTACTTGAACATGGCTAAGATGACACGACGTACTACAATTTAAATTTGAAATAAAATGAATGAACAGAACACCTATTTTTATGTTTTCATTGCTTTGCTGCATCAGTCGTTAACACACGGAGAATGTACGTAAAACTCCCCATAAAGTGTTGATAAGAATTCGCCACTGGATAGCGTTTTGTATATTATCGCGGTTGTTGATAAACAGAACACCAAGATCTTTGCGGATTAATTTTATAATCTTTTGTGTCTGTCCGGTATGGTCAGTATACTATGAGTATTACTCGTCTTAAGATTTCTAGACCTTTGTTTAAAAGCGTGCATGTGATTTGCGTATCTTTAATGTATAGTAGCAAGCTGGGAAGGACCCGATGTGGGATTGCGATTATTAATCGGCTTAAGACTTTGAAAGCGTGGATGTACTCCAGGTATCTTAATCCGATGACGATAAGATACTGGGACGGACCCCCGATGCGGGTTTATGCTCCCTTTGGAATACTGAGTATTTCACACCAGTGTTAAGATAACATGTCCGACTTGTTGACCGTTAGATAGCGGGATGGCCGTTCGCCATTAATCCCTGAGTAGTACTAAGGATTAACTGCTCCAAGGGTCCGACTACAGTGTCCCGTCAGCAGCTTAGCTGATCGCTGATTGGTTAAAACGTAGCTGACGTATTCTATTGCCACGCCTTGGCTACAATCTTCATTCCTAGTTTGACTGCAGCGCTGAAAGGATGTCTAATACGGATAGCAATTACGACTCGGGCCTTGATTCCTGTGACTGCAATGTATTTTTCGACAATGACTCTTTGGATATGCCTACCAGACCCAATATGAAGTATATGCAAGATCGGTTGGATACATTTATTCGATGGCCTACACAGATGAAACAAACTCCCCTGGATCTGGCAATGAGTGGATTCTTCTACACCGGAACTAACGATCGGGTACAGTGCTTTCATTGCGGAGTTAAATTGTATCGTTGGAAAAGTACGGACAGTCCCGTCACAGAACACAGGCGATATTCACCTAACTGCTCGTATATGAAGATGGTATTTAGAAACGTATAACTCCGGTATACGCTTCCATTCAAAGGTCCTTATAAGGACCAACCAAATAAAACGAAAGAAAACTTGAAAACATGATGATTCGTCTTGATTATCCTGCATGCGATGTATTTTGCATGTAAGAAACACCCCATTACATTATGTATTTAGCAAAGACATTGTTCGATTTAATAAACGTCACAAATACAGCCACACAAATACATCCATTTTTATACATACATTCGTTCATTTGTACACATTTGTGATCAAACTATTATTAGGGGTATACAACATACATGTCCGACCATTATGTAGCGAGACTGTCATTATTTTTTAACATGTACGACGTCCGTCTCTATTACTAAACGACTTTCTCGATACCCATGTCCGCCATTTTCCCGTCTCACACACATCTGACCAACAGACGTCATTTCTTACACGAGACGCCATTTTATCACTTCATTCTCACCAAACCGTCAGACACACTAAATCGGAAATGCTATGACGTCACTTCCATCTTCATTCCCAGAATACACTTCCGGTTATGACGTCATTTCCTGTCTTCATTATTACCCATAATCCTCATGCTACGTCACTTCCGGTTATGACGTCACTTCCGGTTGACCCATGACCTGTGACGTCACATGGGGATTTGCTAGGTCCGGTCCTGAATGAGCCTGGTATACTACTCATGTTCTGCCCTTGAAATCCTGCTGCGAAGTTCGATGTCTTAACTGTTTTAATCAGGTATTCAAGTCAGGTAACCAATTTCAGTTTTGAGGTTAACTTCACTGTATTTCCGTCACACAATTTCTGTGACTCCATTAAGGGTCTCATCAGGAACATTTGCTGACACCCTTTTTCAATATATACTGGCCTTCACAAAAACACGACATAAATACTGTAAACACACACGTTTCACGTAAATAAATCACATTAAAGAAAGAAAGTCAATTTCGAGTATGATTTTAAGAACCCTTACCAGTTCGCTGAAACCAACGAGCACGGGTATGGTGCTGACAAACCTAGGAACATCATCGGGGTTTCTGGCGTGCCCAAGGGACGCAACTCTGCACAGCGAATCGTGGCGCCTTAGATGACGGGACACCCATGCCCCGACCAGGCGAGGAAATGGATAGCTGTATGCAATATTTAATCTATTTCAAGACGGCCGGCATGTACTCCAGGCTACCACTGAAAGCCACGAGCACGGGTATGGTGTTGAGAAACCTAGAAACATAATCGGGGCGAACAGGGATTCGAACCCACAATCATAGGTTTCTGGCGTGCCCAAGAGACCCCACTCTGCACAGCGAATCGCGGCGCCTTAGACACCAGAGAATAATTGACTTTCTTTGATGAAAGTAATATTATATGCTAATATTTAAAATACATGTTTCCCTAGCATTATTAATCGACCTGAGGCACTTTTATACATTCATTTGTAAATTGTGCATAACGAGACTTCTGTTGAGACCTTCGGCTCTGGTTCTTGTGTGACATGTTTGTAGTATCCCCTGTGCCTTATTGACAACACAGCCCCGCAATACAAGCGTTGTTAAAATTAGATAATATGTTGTCTTACACTGTGAGCATGGATAGCTATGACTGATAGCAATACACAGAATGCGTACCATAAGTTTAGTTAGGGATCTGGAATGGGCGACATTGCGTTGGGCCATTGAATATAATACCAAGATATAATTAAAGGGACATTACCCTTAAGACATTATTCAATAATGCGGAAATTATATAATCTGGAAACTGTATCATGGGGATTAACGTGTCCTTGCTGTATATAGGTATAATGGCAAGATTGCAGTATTCAAGGCTGCCATATCAAGACATGCACTAGATATATACTGGTGTCATATATATGCTGGATCCATGAATATGTTTCACCACTCATCATTTCAAGTTTACACAGACAGATTGTATCTTTACAACTCACACACAGCTGCCACTCTGGGACTGAACATCTGTGTACGTGCGTTGTCACATTACTGTTGACATACGCAGTTACTTCCCCTGACAAGAGCCATCTGTGGTGTACACGTGTGGCCGACTACAGCAAAAGTGTGGCGTGGCCTACGAAGTTACCTCCCCTGACAAGGAAGCATCTGCCTCTGTGGAGAGCGATCTGTGTACCCGTGTCGCCGACTACAGAAAAAGTGTGGCGTGACCTTAGAATTAAGTTATCTTCCTGACAAGGATACGTCTTCCTTTGCGGAGAGCGATCTGTGTACCCGTGTAGCCGACTACAGCAAAAGTGTGGCGTGTCTAAAAGCAAGGTATGTCGCGTGTTGTGACTGAACATCTATTGGTAAATATAAACATCCACATTAAAAGTATGATAAGATAGAGGGACAGATAATTTGAGAAATAGAATGTTCCTAGTAACCACATGTACGTTGTACTTTCGGTTTCGCCTTGAGGCATGTATAGCCATCCTTGGGTTGTACATGTAGTAGATCCAGAGCGATCTATTGAAACTGATCACCAACCTTTGCTTACCCCTCTCCTGTCCCATACAAGCCCTCTCCGCCTATTTACAAACCACAAACTACCTTCACAAACCGCCCTGCACCATGGCTTCTTCCAGCACATACATGAACACTCATATTTGTCTGTCTGTCAACCGTATCAAGGATATGCCATCGTGTTATCTATTCACGATTTAACAAAACAATTATTATATCTGTCCGACAATGAACACTCCCATTGATCATCTTTCTATCAACCATTGCAATGTCACTGAAGCGGTGTGTGGTCTAAGGGACGCAACTCGCGATCGTGTTTGACATATTTCCCATTCTGTGGGATCTTTGAGTTTATTTTCCTGCTCGGTCCATCAAACAACGCGATGGAATATGGCATACCATGTCAAGTTACTGGATTCTTAATACAAGGAACAACTTAATGTTATTTTGGTGGCCATTTAATCAAATATTAAAAAAGGGAGATCACCAGTATGTTCTTCATTGTGTGTCAGTGTATTATTCAACAGATTACAAGCAGCATGGATGAAATAAATCATGTTCATGGATTTCGTTGCCTTAAATGGAACGGTATATGTGAAGACGCACGTGGTATCAAAACACTATCTAATATTCTTTCATATATATTTCCAACGTATATGTATATAACAAGTTATATCAGATGTATAAGCATAAAAACACATTCTACTTTATATTTGGGAAATATCGTTAGGCATATTTAGATAATTTTATGTATAATTAAAGGCTACAGAATGCATACTGCGGGTACTTCAATATTCCATGGATGTGTGACAATACATATTGTTCAGAAAACACGATTAAATCAACAATGAGAATGTATTTAAAGTTTTATACCTCATGGTGCCTGGACGTCAGTCAGCCCGCATGCTGCTCAGTGCCGCACTGTGATGACGTCGCGGTTTCAAAAACATATACATTGTATCAAAAGTGTTACAACGTTCTTATTTCTTCACACAGTGTAACCAAATTGGTATAACATGCAACACGAGTTGATTGTCTTTCCTTCAAGTATCTTAAGTCACCAAATCAAAAACATCTATGCACTGCATAGCCATTGATTAAAGCGCTGGTATTATACGTTTCCTACTTTTCTACATTAACCGTTATATGGAAGCACCCGAATATGGCAAGTTAAGTCAAGTTAGCGCCTTTGTTTGAAATCTAAATGTCTAATTCATAACATAGGCAAGTACATAACCTAACAGTGATAGACATATGGCATTAATGTTGAAGTACACATTCACTGAGAATTTTCCGTGAGTTGTATTGACCGTAAAAAAAAATAACGACGAAATTGTCCGTGTTTTTGACGTCAAAAACATAAGTAACGGAAGTGGTCGTAATTAGTTCATATGCAGACTGTTTCAAAGATTATGTCGCAATACGAATAACAGTTTTGAATGTATATCTTGAAGAAATCCCGGTTACGTCCATGTAGGTTTCAGTGGCCGTTTTCTTTTATTAGTGATAAAAACAACTTCGGGGTAATTCACATCGTACATTTCCAAAGGACAAGAAATGTGAAAGATCGCTAAACAGGCCTAACAATACTCAAATTGACAGCTCAAAATCGGACACCATTATTATGCCTTAATAATAAACAAGATTATACTAACGTAATACCATCCAAGAGTAAGCATACATGTAATTTTAATCAAAATCGTTGAAACGTTTTCATGGGCAGCAAATCTATTCAACAATCCTATCACTCGCAACTCGGGCTCCATATGTCATTTCTTCGTTGTACAATCAGACAGACCGCTCACTGATACTTAGGGGGTCATGATGTGTTGTTAATGGTTTAAATCTAACTTATGAAAAGCTTGAAACGAGATGTAATTGGACAATTTTAATACTTGAATTTGAAAGCTCAAGAAGAGCAGAATAGGCTATATTTAATACAAGGAAACGATAACCTGTACAGTACAAGTGAAAGAAGGCAATATTATTGTTTTACGGTAGATATACAGTTATAAATAATATCTAGATTAGGTTAAAGAGAAAATTGCAAAAATATGAATTACTTCGATTAAAGTTGTGTTCAATGTTAAAACAATTCATGTACTCAAATTTGTTTCACTATGATCACTAGAAAACATACATCCTCGTCTTATGATCAGCTAGTATTTCGCACTTGGCTGCAATACTCTTAGACCATTGCTCAAAAACACTTGTATGGCAAGTCCATGAAATACAGCCGTCATATAACTGGACTATTGCTGAGTGGGGCGTAAAACAACAAACAAACCAAAACCATGAAATACAACTTTTTCTTTCAAATTGTTTTATGAATCAGCTTTACCTAGGTATGTATACATGTATATGTAAGGACATACGTGATAGTTTATTTCCAGTAGTTTCCCATTCCATCCCATTTTACTAAAGGTACAGTTTGAAATAGATAATGATCGTAGGTCAATGAAAGTAATGGACCTATTTGTCCAAAATATATTATTGGTATTGAACTTCGGAAATTTAACTAGGAAAATGTATAATATAAATGGTTTTCAGTTATTATGCTTTTCCTTTTTTCCCTAGCTAAACAAGAGCTTTGAGGGAAGATGTACAAATTAAAATAGCGAAAAGAGAACTACAAGAATGCTTTGATCTTTTTGCTCTTAGACAAATAAATGTTTTTGCTCTTAGACAAATAATTATTTAAAAAAAATTAATTCTAAGCTAAGGATACAAAACAAAGTAATTACCACTTTGTCACTGATGGAAGTATTTGATAATTTAGATAATGCAAAGTGAAAAAAAACATAAATAAAACTATATAAAACATCATTATTGTGCGCTTGACTGCCATTTTTGGAACTTTGCTCCTGATATACTCACCGACAAAAGAAACGCAAATACCATGCACGTTGGTTAATGTATGAAGAATTACTCCTATTCACAAGTCATTAGATTGGTCGATGCACAAACCGACATACTGTTCGTTGTGTAAACCGACGCTCGTGATCGCATTGCATCATAGATCCATGACTCGAGGTGCACTATTTGTTTCGTGCATGATTAGCTTGTAAAGTAATCGAGTATCATTGTATTTTTTTACATTTAAAAAAAATATTTTTCTCAGGTAGCTGGACATGGAAGGAAGACATGTAGTTTAATATTGTGAAAAAACAACTTTATAAACACAAGAATGCATGATAAATTTTGCTCTCTTTATTTTTTGACGTATTCTAATATATTGAATGAGCCAAAATGTTTTTAGTTTTACTATATACATGTATAATCAGATGGCATGGTAGTATTCAACAATGTAATTTGAAATTGATTAGAAATACAAAATAATATTTTGCTGTCATTAGATATTGCACGGTAAATATGTAATAAAATCACAATACAATTTCCAAAGTGGTATCTTAACATGACAAAGATATTTTCTCATTCATAAATCAATAATGTACTGTCTGTGTATTTGACCAATTTATGTTATTGAACTATTCATAACTAACATGTTTGTCGGAGACTTTAAATTGGATATTTAATGTTCGATCTGTTTTGACAGTTTCTTGATTGTAAAACATTGGATAAAATGTCTTCCCCGTCACTAGCCTACATGCAAAAAATCCATATTGTAACTTCAATGAACGAGTGAGTGAGTGAGTATGGTTTTATGCCGCTTTTGACAATATTCCAGCAATATCACGAGGGGGGACATCAGAAATGGGCTTCACAGTCATTGAACGAAAACATAAAACGTTTACTCATTGCTGACACTACAGATAATATAATATCAAAGGCTTTATCAAAAGATACTGAAATGTGCATTCTACATCCTTTAAGTACGAACTTAATATATTGTTGAGATTCTGGGGTAATTTATAAGGTCTATGAGAAATACTACTTGAGGTAAAATGGTATGCTTTCATAGACATGTATGGCTGCTGGACAGCTTAGGAAGGCAGATCTCAGACATGGCCAGCCAACCCATGTTTGAACGCAATAACGTTTCATGATGACGACGTTTAAGCCAATTTCACTCCACCTCTACCTCCCCTAGCCCCGTATACGTGTGTTAAAATAGCATTCACCTTTGCACCTCAACCCGGAAGTGACCTAGCTACAAATACATGACGTGGTCTGTGCCAGGTAGGTGCGTTGTGGATCGTCTCTGATAGCCTAACAATATAATCAAATGAGATAATGTTGTTCTGTATGAGAAATCACCTGTGTTTAACTAAACCACTAGAATGCATTTCAACTGTTACATTGCATATCTTAAGCATACCTTAACTTATCTTAATCATAAAACACTCGTCTAAAGTCCTCACATTAGTGTCATCCCTACTTTCGTTTTAAAGCGCCGACATGTTCTAGGACACGACACACTTCCCTGCCTTATGTGGTCTGCGGTAACAATCTAGCCTTTTTTTGCCGCTATACATGAGTATGATGACGTCCTTGCGTGTATCGTCCTCGTGCACACAGATAATATACCTCCCATGCAGAATGAACAGCTCATTGTTATCGGCTCGATCGAATACACGGATGGTGCAGCATTAAAGTGCTTGAAAGGCCATTTATTGACATGTAAATGTAACACGAAATGTGTCAGGTGATTATACAGGGGTGTGTTATTATTATTTTTTTATTTGAAGCGAATGGTCAAATAGAGCAATATATTTGAAACTAACGGGCAATTTGGACGCGTTGTACCTGCGTGTGCAGTTAATTTGAAAGTGCAAATTTGAAATATATTGTTATGCATGTCTTATCGGTATTTGCCTGATGCACATTATTTATGTAATATTAAATCTTACTATTTTGTGTGTTTTTTTCTCTTATTTGCATTTATATTATTTTAGCATGCTGCGGTTGTTATGTAAACGTCACCCTTTAAATGTATCAAATAGTACTATGTCAACAGACATGAGAAAAACAAAATTAAAACATAATAATAGTATGCAACATGAGCACACATGAAAACTTCCGATGTCAATGCATGTGAAATGTATGTTGTGGTTAAGATAACGTTGTTGTACAGTTGTATGTATTTGTTGCTGCACTGTCGTATATAATATGTTGGCATCTGGAGGACATAGTATTTTTTTTATTTTGTAAGGCTGATACTAATTATATGTGAGGCGAGGTGTAATAGGATTTAACGTCACGTTCAAGATTATTGCATTTATATAGCGACGTGCATGCAAGTGTGCGTGTGGCTACTGTGGGTCCGGACTAATGCCGATTTTATAGTGCTAGCTCACTGAAATACCAAGCCGCAGGTTAACATGAATACCCCACTCAGGCACACTATACTCCGAGCCGACCAGTCCTTGTTTTAGCCCCTTAATTCCGAGCGACAGGCAGGGTAACAACAAGTCTCCTCTTTTTAAGTATTGGTATAACGCGGCCGGGGATCGAACTCCCGATTTTCCTCTCCCCGGGCAGATGTTCAACTACTAGACAACGGAGGCGATCTACTAATTATTATTATTTTACTTCGAATATGCCATGCATTAATCTACGTAAATGCCATACCCGTAACCAAGACCTCAGATATACTATACAAGTACACGTATTGTCCGCTGATGTGGCAATGCTGTTCAACATCAAGATTAAGCTGTCGACAATATAAGCCATTATAAAATATTGTTTCCGACATGGTTGAGATACATCATATTTCTAAGTCATATGTTAAAAAAATAACGTTTATCGGGGCGCACGTTCGTCATTTGATATCTCAGACATTATGTTATCTCAATGTTTATTTTTCTATTTTCTATTTGCATGTATAATATACCATACTTCCTATCTTCCAGTACTGTGCACAACTTGGACATCATAACACTAAACAGGACAATGGCGACTGCAGTGAAGCTACCCCAGTGTAGAGTGTGTCACACCTCGTACAAGTATGGTGGGCCTGCTCCACACCTCCTACCTTGTCTCCACTCGGTGTGTCAGACATGCCTAGACACTGACACCGCTGATACACTGACGTGTGACATATGCCAGGAAACATTCAATAAAGAACACACTGATTTCCCTCCCGATGTCGTTGTCATCAAAGATATCTTCCACCAAACTGCTGAAAACGATGGTTCCGCCGTGCTTTGTACCAATAGAGATGATGGCAACCAAGCAATGTCCTGGTGTGATGAATGTGAAGCCTTCTTTTGTGAGCACTGTCAGGCCAGTCATGAAAATATGAAGTTGACAAGATCCCATGCAGTTGTGACATTGGCAAACCTGAAGTCATCTGACGTAGAACCTACTCCTAAGACTGTCTACTGCACAGAACATGCTGATCATCCTCTTCTGCTCTATGATGAAACATGTGAGCAAAGAATATGTTTCAGATGTAAGGAGAATCATAGCGACTGCAAGGTGAATGACATAGCTACAGCATTTCAACATCTGAAGGAGACCGTACTGGAGGAAGGACAGAAAGGCCTCTCTAAGAAGATAGAAACAATCAGAGCCATCAAGGACCAGGTACATGAAGTTGTCAAGATGTCAGAGGTGAAAGAGAAGGAACGGAAGGAGTTCTTAAAGCATACGTTTTCTGAGCTGAGAAATACTTTAAATCAGCGAGAAGAAGGGCTTTCGCTACAACTGGATCAAAGTTTCAGAGCTGTATATGATATAAATAACTCACGGCTATCCAAGTTGGAAATGGAGGAAGCCAAATGTGACACAGCACTTGGGTATTGTCAGAAATTCGCTGCCATGTCTAGTATGGACGCACTCTTCAGGGCCAGAAAGACAGTAGTATCCAGAACCAATGAGTGTATTACAACTGAGCTTCCCCAAGTGAGAGATACAGAGGCTGCAGTCACTCTATCTAGACAGGACTTTACAGACCTGAAGCAATTGATTTCTTCCTTTGGAGGGTACTACATACCCATGGACCCTCAGTCAGAAAGTAACCCAGGTAGTTTTTGATTATTTCTTGGATGATTAAACAATAAATTGATATTGTAACGAGCTAAAGAAAAGCTAAGTAATTTGTATCCTGTACATTGAGCTGTTTATAGTACATTATAGTACATACAGTTTATTAGCAATGTTGAGTTAAATACGAATAATGTCAGTGTCCTTGAGTGAGTGAATGTGGTTTTACGCTGCTTTTAGCAATATTCCAGTGATATCATGGCGGGGTACAACAGAAAATGTGCTTCACACAATATACCGATGTAGGGAATCGAACCCGGGTCTATGGCGTGACCTGCCGATGTTTTAACCACAAGGCTACCCCACTCAGTGTCCATGAGCATTGGCCATCATAACAGAGCTCGTTGCTAGTTGCCTCTGTTCCCTGGAGATGATATACTTGTCATCTAGGTAACCAAGTCTACTGGGAGAAACTGCAGACATACACATCAGCATCACTATAGCTAGTGTTACATAAAGCTTACCATTTTCAGTCATATTCTATGTATTATTTTTGAAAAGAATGTTTAATACCGGACACCTTCCGCCATATTCTGTTATGCGCGAACTACTTCCTTGGCAACCAAAGGCATTCACCATTTTCCTGCCGCTACAGTTAATTTCCTTTGCCCTTGGGCTCTTTTTTTTTATACCGATATATTTAACCCTTGGGCCTCCGTTTTAACTTTATAAGGGTTAGTAGTAGTTGTTGGGTATAGGGATTGCAATATCAGTAAGTACTTACCATCAAATAGCGAAGTCGTCCAAACTGTCATTTTGATCAATAGTAGCGAGTGGAGGGCTGGGTTTGACAATATCAATGTCTTTCCCATGGCGATTGTTTGCTCGCACAATGAGAGGTAAAAAGGCAGTGAACTTGTCCGAGACGTCTGAACATTTTTACAAAATTCCTCGAAATAGGTCTACATGTCCTTTGTTAACGTTGTCCCCCTTCGTGGAAGTGAACGTTTTTTGGTTTATTGCAATAGCGACGTTTCAGTGTTGATTCTGGAGTGACAACAACCAAGTGAATGAGAGGTATAGATACATGACATGTTCTGAAAAGTAGCAGATTAACATTGAGAACAGGTAACAAATGATAAGTAGCACACATGTAATTGGGTGGAGCCAAATGTACAGTAAGAATAACAAAAAGCACAAGGTAATAAAACACACGAGTAATAAAGCCAAATGTACAGTAAGTATGAGATAAAAAGGATTAAACAGTTATGACAAGGTGATTGGATGTTAATTAAAATAGTCTGTTGCTTGATTAGATCTTCAAAGGCAGACGAGTGAGTGAGTGAGTGAGTATGGTTTTACGCCGCTTTTAGCAATATTCCAGCAATATCACGGCGGGGGACACCAGAAATGGGCTTCACACATTGTACCCATTGAACGCTTTAACCAATAGGCTACCCGACCGCCCCAAAAGGCAGACGAGATGTAATGCCCCTGATCTCTGTTGATCAACGTTTTCTGACGTCACGCAGAAATAGACAAATCAGGAACCACTTACCTTTCAGATTTCTCTCACGCTCCGATGTTCCACACTTAGAAATATATAGGCAGAAAAATAACGAGGCATTCCAAGTTTAGTTTTATTGGATTTGAACAAAAATAAAGTACTAAGTCTAGTTTTTCGAGACCGGAAGTGATACATAGAAACTCACATTTAATGTTAATTCATATCTAAATGTGCCCGTTTTCGTTTCCGTCACGCACGAGTCTCGTGTTATATGAACGTCACGTGATCTATATGGTAGGTAGGTGTCCGGTGTAATGCATGTTCACCTTATTTTTATGCGCGTTGCAATTGTTAAATATTCCATTTACTCATATATAACATATGTTTGTTGTCACAGAGGGATCTACTATGAATGCTATGCAAACAAAGATAAACAAGCTTGAAGCTGATAACATGTTACATCTGCAGGTACAGTTTGTTGACACCTGCTATATAACTTGACATGTTCAATATAATGTAATTCACCTTACTCAATCCGTTCTAAAACCAGAAAACCACAAGTTCAAAGTATTAGCCTTTTTTGAGATCTGTCAATTTTCATACAATATGGTGGAATTAAGAGCATTAGACCTCTCGTTTTTGGTGTGATAAGGTAACCTGTTACCCAAAAGGCTACCTTACCAAGCCTTCCTCTTTACATGCTAATGATGCACATTGTATACATTATACTTATTAATTATGTTTTAAGGTTATAAAGAATCGCGATCAACAGATCGAACAGCTTTCGACAACAATGAAGTCTTTAGGTGAGCATCATTTCAATATTGCAACATGGCAAACACGAATATGAGCTAGTATGATTAACATAGTTGTAAAAATGAAGGAGATGTGAGCATATAATAACAATACCATATTTTGCCAAATGAGCTCGTGTTCTGTAATTCACTCTGCAATCTTCAAAGTTGGGCACCTGAGCTGTGAAAGAGTATGCCCATTGGGGGATCGAATCTTAAAGTATGATTTGATTATACACATCATTGTTGCCTGTGCATAGTGGTAAACATCCACAATCTACCTCACTTTCCTCTCCTTAACTTCACTCAATTTTAAGCTGACACACCAGGATGTTAGTGAAATGCTGTGGAAGTCGGCGTGAACAGTTCATTATACCACAATACCATATAGCAATAGTATATTTTTGACATTTTGTTTTGTAGAGTGGGTGTCCAGTGTAGCTGTCCACTTTCTGCCTGCCTCAGATGCCCCTTTTCCTGTTCCTCTTCTCTGTAAGTATGTTTTCACCAGGGAGAGTGTTATGGCAGCGTTGATAAATTGAACTGATGGACTCCAAATCCACACTTGTCTGATGTGACGAGTAGAATGAGATTACTTTGGAAAAAAAGAAATTTGAATATTATGCGCCGAAAAAAAATTACACCCAAACCCTTCAGCGAAGTCCGGCAAACGAACGGGTGATGAGAAACTTCGTCAGTACAAATTCGAAATTTGAGATAAAAAATCACCATTTAAATTGTGTTTTTGTTCAGCTAGGCATTGTTTTATATCCTGGGATTAAGATTACCTTGTGTATTTTCTTGTAAACTAAGCCGGACACAGCAATCAGCTGTACACACGTTTTATTGGAATCTACCGGTGATTCGGTCAAGGCACACCCAATGATATAACTTTACAGGATTTTAATGCAAGGATCGGCAAAAGTTGTATCTGAAACTATTTTTTTATCAGGAATAATATATTCCAATATCTTATTAACTGAGATGCAGCTTTTACTAAACATATTTAAAATAATAATAACCCTAAGCGAAGCAGCTGATCGCTATTGTCGGGCATTATTATCTACATGGAACCAGTCTGACCAGTCACCGTCGAGGCTCCCGTGCACGTGATCGCGAGAATTACGTGTTGACATAGAATCGCACAACAAAAACAAATATGACTTTTAACGAATCAAAGTATGGCAATTATGATATATGTATCCATTCTCTGTCAACCAAAGTTCGTTTCAAGGCGTTTCACAGTGATGTCTTTCCATGGGGGAAAAACATCAAAACTCACTAATTCGTGTATAATGCGCACCCCCTTCTACACAGCTGTGTTTTTTGGAAAATAAGTGCGCACTATACTCAAGAAAATACGGTAGCTATATGCAATGCGTGAAGTGCCTGACTGTGCACATCATATGGATAGGGGTCACAATAGTTCGTCTAGTCACCCTGAGATTTGTCAAATCCACACTCGTTGATGTACATGTCCTACTGCTATTAGGGTCCACGAGTGGCCCTGTCGTCTAAGGCGCCGCGATTCGCTGTGCAGAGTTGCGTCCCTTTGGCACGCTAGAAACCAATGATTGTGGGTTCGAATCCCGGTTCGCCCCGATTATGTTTCTAGGTTTGACAGCACATTACCCGTGCTCGTGTGTTTCTCCGAAGTGGTAAACGTCTGAGACCTGCATCACTTCGGGCTTTCCCTCAACATTAAGTTGACATGCCGAGATATAACAGGAATACTCATATGTTAAAAGCGGCGTTAAACCCAACGCACTCACTCATTCACTCACTCACCCTAATGTCGTTGTTTACTTGTGCTATAGTGTGTGCACTCAAAGTTTCACTCGTTAACATATTATTACCAATTATTCAGCGGCAGAGATACAATGTATTTGTGTTGGAAAGTTTACTTTATTCAATTTTGTAGGTATACATCTAAAATATGACAAAGACAGAGTCAATCTCGACTCCGCCCACGTCAACACAGAAGGAGACCTGGTCAACAGGAAGTCGGGCACTAGACCTGCAGGGGAGGGGAGACTGAAGAAGTACTGTGGCACATGTAGCACTGCCCCCCTCCCCCGGGCTGGCTGTCCCCAGTACTGGGAGGTGTTGTCTAGGGTCAGTCTGGACAAACCACTCACAGGGGACGCGCTCATCCTGGAGGTGGGTGTATGCAGTGAGGAGCAGAGGGACGTGCATCATTGTATAGGTGAACAACAGACCTCCTACAGCCTGGATGTCGTCCAGTGTACTACACACGGCGGGATATGCAGGAGGACATTGAAGGGGGGGAAGTGTGTGCTGTGTCTGCCCGACACTCTCCCCAACACAGCAGGGGCATCACACACACTACATTACGGTGTTGTCTATGATGACGCCAGGAAGAAGATTGTCTTCATTGATGTGAAGGAGAATAAAGTGATGTCGACGTTAGACATTGTAGACTCCAGTCAGCCACTGTGGCCGATGTTCGGGGTGTATAATGTCACTGTCAGCATGACACTTGTAGTGGGCAGCGACATCAACATGACAGAGGAGAAGAAAGCAATGATTGTCAAGTCGCTGTCGTGATGGTGACAATGATTGTCAAGGCGCTGTCGTGATGGTGACAATGATTGTCAAGGGCTGTCGTGATGGTGACAATGATTGTTAAGGGGCTGTCGTGATGGTGACAATGATTGTCAAGGCTTTGTCCTTAACGTAAGAAGGAGAGTAATGTTTGTCATGAGTAGTAGTGTAAGAGACATATTATGCGCCTGAAATTGAAAATGATGTTTATGATAAATCTAATGATGTTTATGAAATATAAATGTGATGTGTATGAGGATCCTCGTGAACCGGATATGATGTATTCATAAGTTCAGAGAGAGAGAGAGAGAGCGAGAGAGAGAGAGAGAGAGCGAGAGAGAGAGAGAGAGAGAGAGAGAGAGAGAGAGAGAGAGAGAGAGAGAGAGAGAGAGAGAGAGAGGTGTGTGTTCATCTAATCTATGGTGAAGAACTTGAATGATAGTAAGGCTGTATTCCCTATTACTGTGCAGAAATGGTGAGGAAATGTACACCTGTCTGCAATATTCTGTCTATATCAAGACCAGTCTAGCTCAGTCTATGCTACATGTATCGGGAGCGATGACACCCGATCATTCAATGTAACCACCCGATCCTCATAATTCGCCTCTGAGAACAAACTCGCGATGAAGACAGTGTATTGAGGACATGTTCTGCCCTGGAAATCCTGCTGAGTAACTGCTTCGTCATGATCAGTTGTTGGAATATATCAACTGTTTTAATCAAGTATCCATGTCAGGTAACCAATTTCAATTTTGAGGTTAACTTCACTGTATTGTGGTGACTCAATTAAGGGTTTCATCAGAAACATTTGATCTCAACGTTTGGCGACAGATTTGTTTCTGTCTGTCAAGATCAAAGATTTGTATGAAAATACATGTTTTAGTTGCAGTATCCCCCGTTTCTTTCTCTTCCCTACCGCGTCACACTACACTCCGTTACTTGACGTGTCTGTATCTCCCACCATACACACGGATGTAAGCATCCGTCATGTCTGTATGTGATGGAACGAATCTGAGATCACGTGTACCATCTTCAAAACATTTATATCCAATGAAACAATAATCGAAATGACATTCTTCAGTGTTAAATTAAAAAAGATGATACATTTACTGAAGCTTTCATGAAATGGCTAAACCATTGGAGGCAATTCCTGCTTTACCGTGATTAATTTGTTTTTTGTGCTTAACCAACACGTGTATTGATGTCATATTTCCTTTATTTTCGCGATAACATGGACTTGATTAATTTCAAATATAGGGACGGCAGCAACATGGTAATGCCATCTATTCTTTTGATCTCGATTCTCTGAAATGCAATACATAAGGTGTCGGACAATGTCATGTGCCAGATCACTTTCGTCAGCTCACTGTTATCAACGTTGCTGCTGAAAAGTGTGTGGTTCAGGGGACGCAACTCGTGTTTTACTATATATATTTCATGAATTCGAATCTTATGGATTGCATTCTCGTTCGAGCCTGAAACTTGCACAGACGTAAATGTCCTAATCTGTCAAACTGCATAGTCTTGTATGGGGGTATAGGTTTTTTTACTTTGAATTCAGCTGATTTGACGACCACATTACCTTGGAACAAATATTGTTAGAATATCATATCATAATATCTTATTAACCATTGTTGATAGGCATTTTGGGGTGATGACGTGTACATTATACAACATGTAGAGTTTCAGTTACTACAGTGTTCAAAGTATGGGTCGCCATCAATGCTGAAATGATACAGATACAGATCGACTTATGCCCGAGTCACATATCCACCGATACTGGGAAAGATTAGTTAACGATGCCCGAAAAGACTGAAAATCGGCAAAATTGAGGCATACGCGACGGAGTGCCGGACGATCATCTGTGAGCATTGGCCATGTTTTTGACATCGGGAAGACCCGGTGGACACATCGGAAGGAAATAACTCGGAGTTATTTTCTTGCGGCGACCGGTGGTCCGCACCCCCATCGGTAATGGATCCGTGACACATCTTCCGGTAGCCCACCAGTGGCCCTCCAGGCACATGCCAGACCGCGAGGGAATCGGACAAGGTCATCTGCCGGGAATCGGTCAATACTCGGAATGTTCCCCTCCGGTGACCGGACGATTAAGCCAAGTATCGTAGGCAGTTTGGCAGGGTATAGGTTTTAACAGGCCTAGGACTATATATATATCCCATTGTGAGCGCCGTTGTTGTTCTCTCCGTCCGTGCCTCTCTCCACCCGCTGACCACCCAAGTGTCCAGCCCTCATCTCGCGTCAGCTTCACAACCCTCCCGATGCCTTTGTTCGACGGATATGATCACCGCTCTGCACCCTCATGGCTGGGTAGATTTCAGAAATTTACGTCAATTCAAAATTACACAAGTGAAGAAATTATTGACGTTTCCCCCCTATATTTATAAAAAAACTGCTTTAATTTGGTATGAAGGACTTCCATGAAAGGACAACATGACATGGCCTGAGCTTCAACAATCTTTTTGGCAATGGTATGTCCCCACGTCTATTCAGGTTATAGACCACAAGAATGATCTGATAGACAGAAAACAAAAAGAACATGAAGGTTTTTGCGATTTCCTTTATTCCATTCGTTATGAGGCATCTATTTTGAACTGTAACACTTATCAATTTATAAAGGACCACATTTTCAGAAATGCCCTCCCTCACATCATCCAGGTGATTCTTACCGGCGCCATCCCACGTTGCAGACATGGTACCGAGTGCTAAGGTAGAAGAGGACACACACAAAGAGGCTGACAAGGAGGGTATCATGTCTGTCATTACATCCCTCAAAGTTAAGTTGGAAAGAATACACAAGGAGCGACGCAACTCAACAAATTATTTCCCAAACCTTCCCCAAACAAGGCTTTCCCTCAACAAACCCTCCCGCTGGACTCCCCGACCCTTTCCACCCCACCACCTCCCATCTACCCACCCCCAGTGTACCATGCGCACATTCACCCAAACAAGTGCCTCCTCTGTGGGTTATACCACCTGAGTCCCCAGGAGTGTCGCCTCAATCCCCCCCCCCCCCCCCCCCCCCCCCCCCCCGTTAACTACTTTACCCCACTTAACGCTTTCATTGTACATGTATACAATTTTCTGTCCCTTTTCCTTTTCTCTCAGTTGTAGCATACACCTGTGTCTACATGTCCCGTCAACTGTGCCCCTTCCCGACATTTATTAATATGCGCTACCATATCTTAATTTGATTAGGGCGTTGTTTCACTACTATTTGATGTATGAACACGCGTGTTTCAAGTACGTCTGAGATCGGCTCGTAATGTTTGTCATGAGTAGTAGTGTAAGGGAAATATTATGCGCCTGAAATTGAAAATGATGTTTATGATAAATATAATGATGTTTATGATATATATTTATCATGTGTATGAGGATCCTCGTGAACCGGATATGATGTATTTATAAGTTCAGAGAGAGAGAGAGAGAGAGAGAGAGAGAGAGAGAGAGAGAGAGAGAGAGAGAGAGAGAGAGAGAGAGAATGATGGAAAGAATGGAATGAAATGATGTGATGTGTTACCTGTGAACAACTGTGTGTATTATTAGTGACGGTGTATTGGTACATGGCACCTTACCATGATTCCTGTAAAGCTCTATTTTTAATAAGACTTTCTACATCAGTGCTCAATGGAAACGTATTTGTGTAAACATGTTATTGGTACCTGCTGTATTTTATTTGTAATCCATGTACTTGACGTAATCTGGTGTTCATTAACACATTGTCATGTGCCGTCTGCTGTAGCAAAAGAAATTGGGTTCCACAACATATATCTCAGTCTGCTTTCATATTGTGAAAATATTGTTATTATTATACACTTTTATGGATTAATAATATACAGCTTACTGCGGACGTTGGTCAATTTAGAATGAATTTATCATTTAAACTGTGAATCAACCATGGTTGATGGTATTTCTGGATAATTTGTCACATCAGTACAATCTGAATGGTGTGTCTATGTTTTCACTTCTCTACTGTATTGATTTTCTAACGTTTCATGTTTTTAGTATTTAACTTGTATTAGGTATAGTATTTTAATCGCTACCTCATTCACAATGCTTTTAAGAAAGGGCGTATATCGTAGGCAGTTGGGCAGGGAATAGGTTTTAGCAGGGAGTATATATATATTTATATCTTATATATTCCTTGAGTTAAATAAGTTTAATATATGTAGATAAATATTCAGAGCACTACCCAATACATATTATAACAGCAGCTGGGCTATTATTACTATGGCTAACAGCACGGAGACGGAGTCATGTGCAGATTAGTGGCTCCTAATTAGCGCTAGAGAATGGCCGGTTGGCCACTGAAGCTTGACATTGTGGATGAGGTGCGGGAGGGATACTGCAGGCTGACCAGAGAGGTATCGTACTCCATACGTGGCAGCTGGTCAGTGATTTCACTGGTTAAAATTTCTGTTAGTCGAGGCTTGACCCTCGGACAGGGGCTAGGCAGGTTGGCCCTCTGACGCCTCTGATATGTTCCTGGCCATGTATGTCCCATTATCACGTGCACAATCGTGATGATACAGATGCTGTAATTATTATATCACAAATAAAGTGCTATTGAACCACGGATGGACTCCTGTGTTTGAAGAAGAACAGATATCCATAACATAACAGCCCGGGATACAAGTCAAAAGGTGACCAACCGGAGTCCGGGGAAGCATCGAGCAGGCGCCGAGCGGGTGTCATTCGTCGGACACCTGGAATGTTGGCGTGCCTGTTTCGGAGTGTATATTATGGGCTGAATTGGCTGAGCAGCATAGAATGTCTTCAGAATACCTGTCCCTCTACACACACTGAGACTGGCCTGGCTCCGTATGCAGTACGCGAGAGCCCGACACCGTCACAACGTGATCCTGGCAGCGCTGGTACAAAAACACGGTACAAAGAACGGCGAACACGAACTATGATCGGTCGGGCACTGAGCGGGCTCCTTTTAAAGCGAGCAACCATTTTTTTCCAAAATCCTTCGGGTATCTACCGATCATCTTTGGCTTCATGACCACTGCACCTGTGTGTCACAGATGTGGGCAAAAATCTGTGTCACGCCGGGGCATCGGTGAAACTCACCGATGCCCCCACATGGTCCGGCGACAGTTGTATGTATGTGACTGAGGCACAGGCATTAGAGAGTTTTGGAGACAACGGTAAGAGTGAAGTTTGTTTAACCTATTGTGTAGCCTACTGTGATCACATAGCATTTACGTCGCAATGAGCACTGCGATGTCATCATAGAGACGTTCTGCTTGGAAATAAACCTTCAAACTTTTGCTTCGTTTATTAAGGGGTGGTTACTGTATGTATGCAAGGGTTTGTTTATTGGCTGGTATCCTGGTTTTCTTAATTCAGGTAGAATACTCTCTCAAAACACTGCACTCAACCATGCTGCTTTACTCATTAACTTCTATAAGACTAAGGCGTTTGCGTTCAGGTTTGTCATGGTAGAATGTAGCTATTGAAATATTTATTATGCAGTAGCACTATGAACGGTATTAATGTGCAGGGCTTTTGATTGTCTGGCATCTGCGTCAGCCGAACAGTGACAGGTCAAAACGTCATAGGCCGCTTGCAGGCAGGGGAATAGCGAGCCACTGCAGCCATGGTTTTCAATGTAGCGCCCAGCACAATCACAAGGATATGGGTTCTTGTTCAGCAGCATGGGTCAACACGTAATCGGCAAAGGTCGGGACGACCAAGAGTAACCACCCCTGCTCAAGATCGCTACATCCGACTGCGCCACCTACGTGAAAGGACGACCACTGCCACCTCAACCGCATCCAAAATACCCGGACTGCGCAGAATCTCCGACCAGACCGTGCGAAACCGTTAAAGAGTAGCAGGTCTACTAGCAAGAAGTCCTGTTCGACGCGTCATATTGAGTCGACAACAAGGACTGTATTGGTGTCGTCAACACAGGGTATGGCCTGAACAGCGATGGAGAGATGTCTGATTCTGCGACGAATCAAGATTTCTCCTCCATCGAGGGGATGGAAGAGCACGGGTCTACAGACGTCGGGGAGAACGTTACGCTGGAAACTGCGTACAGGTTTTGCGGGGGTAGCGTTATGATGTGGGCGGATATTTCTCATCATGGCAGGGCAGGTTTGGGCCATATCCAGGGCAATCTTACGGCTCAACGATACATCAACGAAATTCTCCTATTGCAGCCACGTCCTCTCAATTGCAGCCAAAGGCAAACGTGTATTCCAGCACGCTAGATCACCTGTGGGATGAATTGGATAGACAGCTACGCCGACGTCAACCACAACCCCAGACGTTGCAGACGTTGCAGACGTTGGCTTTTGCGTTGCAGGCCGGGTGGGCTACCATTCCCCAGGATGTGATTCGCATACATTTCCATGGGTAGGAGATGTCAGACCGCTATCGATTCCAACGGGGGACAAACGCGTTATTGATGGTAGCTGACCTTCACCTTGGACGTTTCCTATGTACCGATAACTGGGATGACTACAATCACCAAGTGTTCTCTCCACCACATTTTGGTATTTTCTCACATCATTCAAATCTGGCGTTGCGTTTCTTTTTTTAGAGTATACATATATATCCAATATCATAAATCTTCCCTTTGTAACAGGAGTTAGATGAAGACATGAATTCACCACAAAGACATTGATTATTTAATAATAAGTAAATAATGAAGTGAGTAATATACGTTTACATCAAATTGCTTTAAGTTTATAGTAGGTGAGTGAGTAAGCGAATGAGCTCATACGCTAATCTGGCAATATTCCACCAAGATGAAACCGGGGCAAGTCAGAATTGGATTTCCCACACTGTACCCAACAAAACTAATACGATGCCGCAAATGTCCCACACACATACCTGTAAATATGTACATGTAACCACGATATATTACAAGTGTCGGGGCTCGTCTCTGCACCATTACTGAAATAAGTTGGAAATGTTATAAACAATTGATGATCCTCAAATTAATGGTATGCCTTCAAAACAACTTCCTCCATGGTCGGTTGGTTTCCTTTTTTTATCAAATATTCCGTAGTCAAGTTGAAACTCTCTGCATTGATATGTTTATGCATGGTTTTCCTGTATAACCTTTTCCAGACATTGCATCATCCAATTGGACAGGTTTCCGGAAAACCGATTGTCGTATATACAAAAATGAGCAAAAAGGATAGACCAATAACACAAGTCAATCTGATATTTGCATGTCTTTTATTGTCAAGCAAGGTTAAACTATGTGGCAGAATGTGTTTGCACGAAGAGAGTAACCGTTGTGCCAATCGTTTACGTATATATGCCATACGTGATGAGAACAGTGTTTTACTTTCGCCATTTGTTCACATCTAGAGTTGGCAAGTCGCAACAGGATAGTAGGGGATTTCTGAAAATGAATAAAAGGTGATGATGATAATGAAAGGTTCAGTCTCCCTTTTAATAATATTGAAATATTACTAAGTTACGGAATACCAAGAATAGCCTAACACATTCTACCTAAGAAAATCGAACCGGAGTCTTCAACTTGACGAGCGTACAATTTAACCATGGAACAACAAGCTTACGTTACCAGAAATACGTAAGAATGTTTGCAGTAGATTGTCAGAGTGTTGTGAACTAATTATTACAAAGATTATCACATATGTAGTACAGGAAGGAGATGTTTGTATGACCTCTAAAACACGTGATATTAATGAGTCATATAATTTTAATTTAAATGTTCAGATAGATCTGAATTTTACCTTTTCTTGGATTCCACATTGAATGCGTCCATCTGTATTTTGTTTATTCCGGAGTTTAAGCACAGAATCTTTGACAGCTTAACCCGTTTTATCTCCACTAGTTGTTCTGAAACGAAGTAAGGAGGATGCAATACCATCTATAGTTTATCATTTCCCAAATTTCTACCTTTTCTCATGTCAGAGAAGTGATATGAGATGAAATGGGCTTTGCAACGTTTCGTAAATACATCCCACTCAGCCTATTAGGCAGGGTAACAAGTACCTTGTTTGACATTGTTTCGTTTAACGCTGCCTCGGATCGAACCTCCGACCTTCTGCTCTCCGAACAGACGCCCTATCTTTAGGACCACGGAGGCGGTCATATGTCAGACAAGTGAGTTGATGTTAATGGAGGTTGTTAGTTTTCTGTTTGTTTTTATTTATTTATTGATTTATAATTTTTATACAAAAAAAAATTGGTGTGTGTGTGTGTGTGTGTGTGTGTGTGTGTGTGTGTGTGTGTGTGTGTGTGTGTGTGTGTGTGTGAGTGTTATTTTTTGTTTTTTTTTGGGGGGGGGGGGGGGGGGGGGGGGGTGTGTGTGTGCAATGTCTGCACATCGGCCTAGTGTTCTGATCCTTTTCTCAATGAAGATACGTAGAAAAAAATGGGTGGCAACGATGAAGCTTTCATATTATTATGGTATGAAGTTAAATATTAAAAACTAATAAGCCTAATTTTGAACATCTTTTCGATGCACTAAGTGTGCATAGACGAAAATAAGTCGTGTCATTTACCTGGAGTGAAGCCCTTGTTAGTGTTGGTGGTTTCATACCAAAAGGAATCACCAAACTTTATGTCGTGAAACTGTTGACCCATCAGACAAGCCAGCAGAGGTCCCATTGACCCGCCCTTCACTGGAATCTCTGACACGGCGCCGCTGAACACGTCAACATCACGCGGGTGACTAGAAAATAATGGACACACATCATTCAACATCTTCATGAGAAAAACGGTGAAATAACTTACATTTGGGAAGGCTGTTTGTGGAGATTTGTCTATAATCCATAGACACGAGGGCAGTGACATGTTTATACAATAAAACAATATCATGAACCGTTCATGTTTGTAAATGCAACAAATAGATTTAAATGTTGTACACATTCTGAACATATAATATATTCGACTTAAGGATTTTTGCACAATTCCTACCTGTAGGTACTCTTCAAAGCTGATGAAGCATTTCCAAAAACGGCAGTTTTGAAAGTGTCCAACTGTTTGAGGTTGCAAGCCTGACGGAAATCGTTGTAGGAAGGAAGACCATGATCACGACCCCTCTGGATGTTTAGTGATACGACGTCATGGCTGTTCTTGCCTGATGTTTCAAACAGATGGTCTGTCATCATGTCTGTGACAAAGCGGTCCACATTCTGTCTCTTCTTCTCCAAGATAGCCTCCAGGACTGCATCCAGGTCCCGTATCACTTCCGTCGGACTGTTAAACAACTTGGATATGGGCATCTTCCGACCATCTATGGTCAGGAACTTTGGGATTGTGGAGTGTCCGTATCTGAACGCAGCTGTCGCGAAGACATTAGCGATGGTCGGGTTTTGGGTGATGTCGTAGCTGTATGTGTCCGGTGTCAGTTTGAAGGTCTCCATTGCCTCAGATCCTAGGATGATTGGCAGCCATTCGGTATATGTGATGTGTTGTAACATGGCAGATACTATTTTCTTGGCCTCTTGAAACAGGATCTCATCAGGTGTGCCAGTAGGAAGAATAGAGGACAGTTCTCTGACGAGTCGATTGTGTTCCCTCATGAATATAGTGTGGAGGACGGTCAGGCCAGGGAACACATTGACGCGATCGTCACCTAACATTTGAAATATAAACATATATCATCTATATGTCATCAAATATCATCCAATAAATAATATTGTTATCAGTCCAAGTCGTTTGTAATATACTTCTAACCGCGACCTGACAAAGTATAACTATGAAACATATTGGGTTTTTTTCAGATGACATTTCCCATGAAAATAAATCATATATCAATCAACATTATCGCCATACAAATGTCATAATATCTAAACGTAGTTGTTGTTAAAAAAAACAGCAGTAAGTATTTACCTGCAGCAAAACACCAGTCAGTGGAATGTTCAAGACGGCAAATAGTTTCATTTGATTCGGGAAGAAGATCATCTCCCTTGGTCTTGAGGAAAGCTGTTTATATGAAGAGAGGTTAGAGTCAATAAATCTGATTAAGAAAGAGTTCTGACAAGAAAGATCTTTTTCAAACACGGAGAAGGCAATTTTTTTTTATATTTTATGGTCAGAGTCACTTTATCTGCGATTGTCACTGAAATGTTACTGTCACTGTGGTGAAACACCCGAGCAGGAATATGACGCTGACCACCTTAAACATATTCTGGCATTGGAACCCACGATCCTATGTTTCTGGCACGGCAAGAGGATAATACAATTTTCCATCTATTCGGACACAATGCCTTATCAGTGTCTATCCATCTAATCGCGTTCATAAGTATCCTCCGTGTAGGTTTCCAAAATGTAATTAATGTTTACTTAGTAAAGGGATGCTATTGATGAAGGTCCACTTACGGCCATGTCTGAGGTTGTTCAAATGTTCAATATTTAATCCATACACATTAGAGGCATCCAGAAAAGCTGTCAGTAGGTTGATCTGTTCCCGAGGATCTGTAAAACATATGAAAGCAACGTTGTATAGGATATAATAATATGCTTCACGAACACCCGCTGTCGCGATGACATTGTACAATGTGTTGTTTTTTTCTTTCTACATGTTCTGACTTATTCACTCACAAAGATATCCTCAAGTGGAAATCGAACTCCACATACTGTTCCCATATGGACAATCAAAGCTAGATCTTTCGTGTGACGAGCGAACGCTTTAACCATCGTGATACACGCCGCGCCAATATTTTTATTAAGACACTAAGGTACCATTAAAGATGGGCTTTCCCATTAAAGTGACTCTGTAATAATAATGTTGTGTTTGATCAAAGAGCACACATGCAACATTCAAACAACTCACTTCCGCATCGTGAAGGGGTTATATCACTTACTGATTCCTGGGGCGGCTGCTGATCTTATGAACTCCATGCAGCTCTTGTTGAAGTGACGGTCATTATCAGGGATTCTAATAGGAAAGCAGGGGCCGCTGAAAGGAGTACATGTAAGTTTAACAACTAATGTCGTGATACATTGTTTTGATGAAACGTTTCATGTGCTCATATTGAGTGTGTGTGAGAGTTGGGTTTAACGATTTGAGCCGATATTATCCACTGACGGAAACTGGATACATATATCGAACATTGAATTTTAGATTGTTCTTGTTACATTCATTATGAATTATAAATTGAATAATTGTGTGACAAGTATGACTAATTACCGATATGTGCGTCGTAAAAAACAAACTTGTATATAAAGGAGTTGGTCATTCACAATATGTTGTCATCAGTTTCTATGATCTACAGATTTTGTCAATATGTTCTTTTCTTGCCTAAGATGTCACAGTATCATTTGCACCATATAAATGAAACCCGTGTATATCCGGGGTAGAATAGGTCTTCAGCTTGCCGTAAAAGGCGATTATACTTGCCGTAAGAGGCGACTAACGGGATCGCGTGGTCAGGCCTGCTGACTTGGTTGATGCATGTCATCGTATCCCAATTACGTGGATCGATGCACATGGTGTCAATCAATAGATTGAGTGGTCCAGACTCGATAATTTACAGACCGACGTCATATAGCTGGGATGCTGAGTGCGGCGTTAAACAACAACGACAAAAAAACACTAATTATTGACACCATTTGTTAATTGTTCTACAAATTCTACACAGTTCCATTTCAATGTACTCACCCAGTTTCCACATCAGGGTGTTGAAAACCTGGTTCCAGACCTTCACAGCACTTTGTGGCGAGGTCATCTGGCGGGACAAAGAGAAGGCAACACTTAAATAGCACTCGTCTCAATATATAAATTATGATGCAATGTAGTTGAATCAGCACGATGAACTCAATACATGTACTATTAATTTAAAGTTAATTTGCGATAAGTGAAAATACATAAGTATAGCATCTTACCTGAATGGACGGGAGTTCCGGTCAAGTCGTGGTCAATAAACTGACCCCATTGCATCACCAACAGTGAGTTGTCACTTGTCTTTCGGCTGATGCTCCTGTGGACCCTTGTGCTGATCAGACGAGGACTGGGGAGACGCTTGCCATCTGAGTCGGTTAGTCGTGGTACAAAGGTTCCTGGGGGCGAGAATTATAGTTTAGACTGATCGGTTATGGAGCTTACTAAATCAACCTCAGATATAACGACATCAAAGGGACATTCAGACGCTATATAGACATGTTCACATGTATACCAGTATTTATAGTTTACCACATCTTGTCTGTTTATCATTTGTCATCACAATCGGCGTTAGCTCAGTGTTGACAAAGTAGTCATAATTCCAAACATAGATTGTCCACGTCAACAGGGGACACCAATAATGTAATGAAACATTGGGGTTTACAGTGTGACGAGCCAGCGCATTAACCACTCGGCTTCCCACCGCATTAACCACTCGGCTTACCCACCGCTAACCATCAGTCTGAGCACCGTTTGGAGGCTTTCCTGTTTGAGACTATTTCTGTTGGTTGATGTGAGTTACCCTACCATATTTGAAGACACTGTGTCTTAACCCGTTTACACATACCATCTTCATAGGCAGAAGCAAGGATTCTCTTAAAGGGCTGTTCCGTTGAACCCCATTGAGGCTCCCGTTCGTTGTTACACCTTCCATCAATCTGGCGGTAACGAGAGTTGTGTTCGCAGAGAGTGGAACGTCGTCTGCCGAAAATAAATAAAACGATAATAGAATGAACAATAACATCAATAATATTAATTAGGAGAAACGCATACTGTGTTTTCCATGTAGAGCAAGGTTACCTGTAAATTTCACCGCGCTAATTGAATTTGGACCCGAACGCGCCACCATGACTGAATTAAACCCGAAACCCTTTAGTTTTAGCAAACATATTGAGCGAAGCGGCATGGATTGAGTCTAGTGTTTTGAGTGGGTTGTCGAACTGAATTACGGAATCACCGACGACAGATACAAATCATGGCGCTCTATGTGCTCAAGTAGTTTGTTTTCTATATGCTCAAGTAGTTTGTTTACACCGTAATATTTCCATCGATTATTTGACAGGCATTGAATTAGCCATATGACTAAGGTAATTTAACATGAAGTGGGCACCACCAAATGAAAACTAAGCAAATCTTGTAAAGCTTTCGCCCATTGTGACGCAAAAGATATGACGTCACAGTCGTATGGTGGTGGTGAGGGAAGCGCTAATTCCAAGCTCTCTCTTGTCCGGAAAACTTAAAAATTAATGCATTCTCTTTGCAGATTTCTGTCGTGTTTTATACACGATATGTATTCCACGCATCCTTTGAATGTTGTTATGACCGCAACTTTGCAGTTTGTAACCTATGATCTATTTATTTAGATATGCCTACCAACAAAGACTGAAAAAAGTACTTTTCTGTGAATCACAGGGGGTTTATAGTGATTTGACAACCTCCGATTGACCAATCAGAATCGATTATTTTCCAAATTCATGGTAGAATAATATTTATGTGCATGTTTTTGCGTTAATCAATATGTCTACAGTTTGTCTTATCAGTCTTCCATTTTGCTATTTCTTGTTTTACTTAAAATCGTATACTGCCACAATATCTTAGATATACGAAATATACAACAGTGTGGAATTTGTTGATCGAATATTCCACTGGAGTGAGTGGATGTATAGACTGCCAGGCGGAAGCTGGAAGACATATATGTTTGGAAAATATCTGTGTGGACCGAACTTTGCAGTGTATACTCTATGCTCCTAAAGGGAGGGGGGTGGTCGGTACCCACCTTCTAGTCGGTCCATTGTTTTTCTTCTTTGACTTTTTGTTGACGCTGATCTGACCTGTTTCACTCGAGTCAGCAAGCGTGCACGTTACAAGGTCTGTTGTGTCGTGATCTAGAAAAGGAAGGATGACATATTACGCTAATAAAATAGAGCTCCACACAGGTATGGTTGATACATACTTTCCATTTCTTCCGAAAAATAATAAAACAAATAAGAAACTAGTTCAACCGTGATATGGGCGGCGGGGCGGCCTAGTGAGTAAATTGTCCGTTTCCCCCGACCATGATCTTTACACGGGAATAAATGTGTTATCCATACTGTGTGTGTTGGTGTTACTGAAGTATTGGCGAAAATGGCGAAGAACGTTACTTCTTTTCTCTACGTGAGTTTCACGCTCTATACAGAAACGAGGGGGCACGGGTGGACCAGTCGTCTAAGGCGCCGCGATTCTGTGTGCAGAGTTGCGTCCCTTGGGCACGCCAGAAACCTGTGATTGTGGGTTCGAATCCCGGTTCGCCCCAATCATGTTTCTAGGTTTGTCAGCACCATACCCCAGCTCGTGGGTTTCACCGAAGTGGTAAACGTCTTAGACCTGCATCACTTCGGGCTTTCCTCCCACACTAAGCTGACATGCCGCGATATAACTGGAATAATGTTAAAAGCGACGTTAAACCTAACTCACTCACTATACAGAAACGTGGCCAATATTACAGCATTACTCCAATATAAATATTGCTATCCGATTGGTTGCAACATGTTTTTCAATGACATTGGCAATCTTCTGAACTTGTTGCGTTCAAATCTTTTTTTCTGTATAATTATTTTTATAAGTACGCTGTACACTGTTTACCTGCTGTCCCCCTGACAGTCTTGGCCTCAGTACCTCGTATCGGTGTCGGCAGCTCTGTCACAACATTACCCCCTCTCTTCTCATCCATCCCCCTTTCCTCCGGGGCTTCACCCGAAGAGGCTGCACTCACTGTAATAGAAACAACACAATAGGATTCATCATGATCAATGCTGGTGACAAAGGCGACGTCAGTCCCACAAGATTAATGTGTATGAAGTTGGAAGTCTTAAAAATGTATTCCCCCAAAAAAGGTTACCAAAGTGAAGATACATCTGCCTCTTTGTTTATTTTTTTGTATAGATATATAGTGTCGCAATGGAACTAACATCCCCATGTACAGGAAATCCATGTGCGAACATAAGAGTCCATGGCAAGTACTTACGTTCATTCAGCAAGCGCTCAAATAAAGATACCTGTAAAATAATAGAAACAAAGTGAATTATATAACACATAAACTACTTTCTACTGCCAGCATTTTCCATCAATTTTGTGTATTGCCTATACGAGCAATATGGTTGCGAGTAACTTTGGACTCATGAAGGTTTTTTTAATATGTTTAATAGCATTGAAAGTGACATTATACACAACGTGTAATGCTAGATCAATCATCAACTCGGGCAATTCCACCCAGGTATGCTCTATATACGGGTTCGGCAGTCAGGTTGCCTTGTGGTTAAAGTGTTCACTCGTCACGCCGAAAACCCGGACTCGAATCCCGACATGGTTACAATGTGTGAAGCCCATTTCTGGTGTCCCCTGTCGTGATATTGCTTGAATATTGCTAAAAGCGGCATAAAACCAAAGTCACTCACTATATACGGGTAGAGAAAACTATCAATGGTGCTGATCTCAGTATGAAATAATGGAGTATATTCAGGCAAAAAACAAGAACGTCAAAATGTCCATGGCATTATTATATACCTACTCAATCATCAAACAGTGATGCGTTATTACTGTTTCAAGCTCCGTATATTCATACCTGTAGTTGACAATATGTCCTGGTTGCATTGTATGCATACCTGGAATATGTAAACATGGATACGTAAAATAACCATGTATACAAGAAACATGCATGTTACCTTTCCATCATCGTATCCGCCATACGTTAAAGAACAGAAGCAAGCAATAAGCAGCCAAGTCCCTTTCATGGTGTATGCTCCGTGTAATAGTGATCTCTTGAAGTTCAACGTCCACTTGTTGCTACCCAAATTCGGTGACGGAATGGTGTTCGACGAAAATGCATCGGCCTATATATCTACATCGACGATAATCCTTTAATCAGTGAATAATAAGATAAGCCATTTAGTCTTAAATGTCCGAAATTAAATGGTTCAATCTAATTAAGTCATGGACTCTGTTTAAGTTAAACCGAGTTACTAAGGAACAAACTTAAGCGTGAGGATTTGTGCGAGTGGGTATAAAATAGCGGCCCAATTAGGTACTTGCATCTATATGAGTTTTCAAAGGGTGTTCATTACAGTAATTTCAATCTGTTTTGTAAGTGATCACTTAATCCACCGAAATTAGCATTAAACGCTTATTCTCTCAACGGATGCGTCTCATTTATTTCTATGTAGCTGCATTCCCTAAAACAATGTCTTTGTTAATTGCATATTTCAGATGCATGTTGTTTATTTCTCCACGTTAAAATGTGTGAGCTTAGTTTACAAATGTAGCAAGTATACTATAACGACACTGAATGAATTTGCAATATACTGAAAACCGTACTATGTTTTTCTTCTTTTAGCTATTTCTTAAAAGCCGTAGACAAGCATTGCTTATTGAAACATTTAATATTTTATTTATTTTGCTATTTCAGTTGTGCCATTTGAGACAAAGGGCAGTGCGATAATATGCATATGCTATGAGATAGGGGAGGATTTTTTTTTGTAAATGTATTAAGTATTTATTGAAGTGTATTCGACTGTTGTGTATACTGCTTATATTGCGTTTTCCGTGAATGTATTTATTCCTGAAGCGGGAACACCGATTTTCAATGTCAATGATACATATCACGAGGCGAAAACATGTTTTGAGTAATCTTGTGAGATTTTGTTTCTAACCCACGTCATAACAGAGAAGTTGAAATATTGCATTCAGTCGTTGCTGACGAATGTGTTGATGAACAACGAGGTAGATTTAACCTCGGGTCTGATTAGATAGTACCACTGTTATCCTGAAAAGTGTTTTGAATATCAGTATGTATATTGACTCAAATCCGTGTATGCCTTCCATGTTTTGACATTAATCCTCAGCTCAGCTTAGTATGCATGAAACATGAGTTTGAATCTTTTCTAAATTCGGAGTCATCGATTATGATAGTATCTGAGAAGCTTATATGTGTGTAGTATTTTGTCAGGTAACAAGACAGGTCTGTGGTATTGATTCCTTACACAACGTCATAGATACTGTCTTGAATGCCTTTTGAAAATAAATACACGTCTTCATAATTGGTCATGGTACGATATATGGTATATTCTGCGAATTATCTTTGAAAAAGGTATCAGAGCAAAAGTGCAGGATACAACAGGGGGTCATGAATATGTTTTACGATCGTAACATTAATTTACTCAAACCCGAAGTAAGTGTGATCATATATGGTCAGTGGTATTTGATCATTACTATCATGATGTGTCGACCATATCGTGCACATGGATATTTCTACCAACTGTGAACTCAACTAACGACGGACCAGTATATAGGAATCTATTTTAATTCGTTTAACAAATAAAAAATAATTAACACAAACCGTTGCTGGACAAAAAATGAAATATATAGAATAGATACCCTTTTAGAAACCCATACCGCCAGTCCTATTACTAATTCACAACAACAAGCCAGAATGTTATTATATGGATCGGATGGTTTGTGTCAACTTTAAATCTGCAACATATGTTGAATCTTCTGTAGAGAAGTTCGCTTTACATACTTGACTCGAATAATCACCCTGTTTGCACCCGGTATCTCAAATATACAGACATGGCGGGATAACACGTTATCAGGATATGACATCTCAAAGCTCAGGAAACTATGTTTATTATACAAAATACAAACACACTTTGACCACCATTATGAATATGAGCACGTGCTAGGCGGGGTCCAAGCACGAGTGTAATCGCTCAATAAACCTCTTCAGCACGCACTGTTTAAAAGATCTTTCGACAACGATGGGTTCGTCCCTGAACGGTTTGAGAAATGCATTATCAGAATAAATAGTAATTTATGTTGACAAACACGGGTTGTTAAATCGTACCATCAAGAATGTTGTTTTTTGTGCGGGTACATTCCGCTTCGTGTTATGCTGTTTGATATAAATCTCATGGCGGTTTTTAAACTGGCTTGATCGATGCCGTGTTAGCAAATAGCAGCTAATGGTTAAGTGTAGCTTGATGCGTTTTCTGTTACCCGGTGTTGCCATGAACATGGTTGCTGTGGATACTTGCTTAATTCCTACGCATGTGTTTTTCTGTATATAAAATCTATGTGTGTGTGGGTGTGTGTGTGCATGCATGCATGCGCGCGCGTGTATGTGTGCGCGTGTGTGTACGCGTGTGTATCTGTGATGGAGGTTATCGGTGCGTACATGGTTGGGGATAAACTGGATTTTCTTCTTCTTGTCATGACCAAGACAAAAACAAATTTTGTTCCGAATATAATTTTAACATTTAATTCATCACACCAACAGGAATAATATTTTAATAACAGCGACAAAACACTTTCCATATTCAGTCCATTGTACATTCCGATTGTACCATGAGCATGTGTTTATTAGTCACTATCAAATAGTGATGACGCCAGGACATCTCACTTCATTATGACGGGATTAAGCACCATATGTGTTGCAGTCACAGCTGTTTATATGTTTATCATAAATATCTGGTCGAACCTCGTTGTGGCGAACTTGGATGTGTGTGATTCCCGGTTGTCTCGAAGTCACATTCGGGTCCCCTGATACCTCGAATAGTTCAAAATATAAACTAAGCTCCACAAACCCACACTCACCAAACTTTCCACTACGTCCGACCTGAAACCTAGTGTTGTGTCCGGACCTAATAATATATCTTAACATACGTTTTGTTTTCGAAAATTCACTTTGTTGGTTGGCTCGAACCACGGATAACACGAACTTTTGTCCAACTCCGTACGAGTTCGACACTACGAGGTTCATCTGTATAGGCTTCGTGTTCAGTCAGTTGAATATTATGTTTATTATTACACTGATATGGATGATTTTTCACTCACAATCATGTAAATAATTCCGTAAATAGTTTACCTCTACGTCTGAACATGTGCGACTTTAAGTTTTAACCCGTCAATAAGGAATACAATCTGGAATAAAAAGTCACTCGGAATCATTAATAACAACAACCAAAAACCAAAACTCAGATACCATATGCAGTAAGTGTCAATATCGTCTTTACTTTTTACGGAAAGGGAGATCTTTTAATATTGACTCTACACTAATGTTGTTGTCGGGTAGCCTAGTGGTTAAAGCGTTCGCTCGTCACGCCGAAGACCCGGGTTCGATACACGACATGGGTACAATGTGTGAAGCCCATTTCTGGTGTCCCCGCCGTGCTGGAATATTGCTAAAAGCGGGGTAAAACAACACTCACTCACTTCCTCTGTGGGTATGGTGGGTATGATGCCCCCCCCTTCAAAACAAGAACAGACTGAAGAAAATTATAAGATAAGGAGAAATGATTGCCGGATGTGTATTTGACAAGCTTGACGTTAATACGAAAAGAATGTTGTTAATTTTGCCTCAAGAATTTTAGACGATCCATCTCACTAAACAGTGATTAAGATGATTACATATACACGAGTATGAGCGTCAGACTTGATATATTCAGTTTTTAAATGAAAGAGGAACTTCAATCCCTACCATTCCTTACCGTGTACTTATGCTATCAGAAGAACTTGGATTCCTTGTCCTCATTCGGCAATTATCGCGAAACGCTATGACGTAATCAGTTGTATCGTAACGGCATAGGATTCCAGCGTGACGTCATAGCCTAACTGATTCACATCTGTCAAAGTTCACATAAAGAGCCGGTCCTACTGAAAATGAAAAACTTTCGTTTTCTAAAATACCGATAAAAAATATGTTTTCAGATGTTCAGGTTTTCTTAAGTATTCGATGCCCGAAAATCTTAACATTTAAACCGCCGTGTGTTCTACATCACATACCCTGACATCGAATACTCAATAACACTCGTGAATAGGAAAACACATACATTTTAACACGTATAAGCCAACTACCTCCCATTTGCTCCATGGTGACATCACATATGACGCAAACATTTAGGAAATACACATATCTAAAAGTAGATGGGACATGCGTATTGCCTCGGAGGTAATTGCACTGTTGGAAGGATACGTATGGTACGCTTACTGCGATGACAAATCTGAAAATAACGTTATTCATGATAAGCTGTACGATTTGTTGAAAATCATAAACAAGGGCTTTCTGTGTGTGCATATCCTCAACTGACCCCTGCGATGCTGTCTGATCAATAATTAACCCCAGCAATGTGTACACATAGTATTCACAGTTGCTCACACCCCAATCAGGGAAACACTCTTTAGTGTGCAAAATTCAGCTTGAAAAGCTGGAAACGTCACGGGAAAAGGGCACATGTTATGCTTAATACACACATTTCAGACGGAACTTGTTTATCTATATTTGTCTCTGGCACAGAGTAATTGACGGTGCTATACAATAAAACAGTGTTGTGTTGTGCGTATGAACAGGGCTTATGAGCCAATCAATTTGACTCACGTGAGGAACTGACACGGAGCGCCGCGCTACACGCTATTTGCAAATTAGCAAGAAGGAAATTTCCCTACATGCTGACACTGGCGTATTTACTCATAAATTCGGATCAGTACATACCATCGACAGCTCAACATGGCCACGAAATTACGTGCAATTGTGTCAGGCAATATGACCCGACATCGAAAGGCAAGCGACATCGAAGTCACAATCACTTCTCCAAAGGACAAAGTTCGCTGCATTTTTAAATCCCTGGAAACCTATCTCCGGGTGTTTGGGCTTTACTGCGAAGCATGTAACTTCAAGAAAACGGTATCACGAAAACGACTATTGAGGGTAGCAATATCAGTTTCCAACATCAACAGCTTTGTGTTCTTTGTGTGTGCCTGGAGTAATGAAGTACGTTTGATTCCAATGCTGCTGGAGGACTGGGAACATGGTTACAAGATGATGTTGATACTACTGATGATACTCACCTACGTGTGTTCCTCATGGGGATTCACCTGCCTCATGCTGCTTAACCAAAAACATTATCCGGCAATCTCAAGGAGCCTTGAGCTCATTACCACTGTGCCAACATTTCCACTGGTGCTGCAACAGTTTACACTGTTCGTGAACCTCTGTATAGCAATTTCAGTAGTATTCCCTATATATTCCCTCCTGTCCGTGTTTCAGGACGGACATGAACCAACTTTAATGACCACGATCAGACTTGCTCCTTCAGAACCGCGCACAACACTGCGGGAGGTTTTGAAATACGTGTATGCCTACTTTACTATTTTGGCTTTCATACATGCTGTCCTTTATTCAGTGTTTCTGAGTGTTGTGTGTTATATACTGAAGAGAGAGTTTGAGGATATATGCGAGAGACTGCAGACTCTGGCTGCGGATGGAGATGACTCATGGAAGGATGGCGAGATGGAGATACTACGCTTACAACACGACAAGGTGTGCCAGGCTACAAGAACGGCAGATCGTGTCATCTCGTATCTTGTGTTTGGAATATTCCTGGCGGCAACGCTTCTGGTGTGTTTCTGTATTTCCTGCTTAATTCATGGTTTTTATCCAAATGAAGGGATTCCTATTCTCATTGCTTTCTCAGTCTCGACATTTGGCCAGGCTGTCATCACGGCAGTGTACGGAGTTATGCTGAATCATCAGGTGAGAGTTCAAATGGTGGAACGTTCATTAATTCTTTAATTAATATCGTAACGGGATCGGGTGGTCAGGCTCGCTGACTTGGTTGATGCATGTCATCGATCCCAATTGCGTGAATCGATGCTTATAATGTCAATCACTCGATTGTCTTTCAGACCGCCATCATATAGCTGGAATATTGCAGAGTGCTGCGTTAAGCAACAAACAAAGTCTATTATTCAGGTAAAACCTGACTGTGGCGACTTAAGACTTGATATAAATTAGAATTGGGTAAGACACGGGTCATCCCTTCAAACAGTGCTGAAATCTGCAATCAAGTTTTCACCTTTGTTTCTTTCAATGGTAGTTGTAAACGTACACTGTTTCATCTGTCATTGCTCTGCTGTTCCATTTGTGGGAGAAGCCAGCTATCCTTTTTGTTTTGCAGACCATTCAATTGTATTCAAACTTCCGTATATGTGATAAAGCAAGAAGTCACCTATCAGTCATATAACTTATTTCTTACAAAGACTCGATTATTTACAGACCGCCGTCATATAGCTGTAATATTGCTGAGTGCTGTCTTAAACAAGAAACGAACCAACCAACCCAATACTGTAATGAAGACATTTGGAGATGTGTTGCTGATACTCAAGTTCCAAATTATATTTCTCGTTAGTATGTAGAACCCGCTTCTAATATCCTGGACGTTGGTATATCCACAGGGGTATTAACTTTTATATCTTTAATGTATTATTATGTTCATCCGTAACATTAAGCAGGAAAATCGGGGTCTCCCTCTATGCAGTGTTATTTGTGCATTGTTCATCTGGGTAGTAGATAACGCTTTGGCTTTTCACGACGAAAGATTCAGTTCTTAAGAACTTAATATCCGACGGACAGTCTATCTCAGGACTAGCAGTCCCGTGCAAGAACACCAAGTGTCCAACGTCTGAGGACATTCAGTCGCAGGTAACAAAGGCCTTGGACGTCCAGTCCTGAGGATTAATGTCAAAGGCTAGGAAGTAACGTCATATCAGTTTTAATTTTGTTTTCCGTTCCAGTACGTTCACCTTTTGCGAACTCATGATACAATCACTATTTGATAGTGATTCATAAACACATGCTTGTGATGCAGCTGGAATCATACATTAGATTCTCATTTAAAGTAGAGATTTCTTATGGATATGGAAAGGGCGTTGTCGAATTTAAATCGGGGGTACCCTTTTGAATTAAACGTTGGTTCGCAGCGATCCATATTTGGGATCGATCACAATGCAAAGCCCATCTTCAATTTCTCAATGCAATATTGTCTAAAACAATATTATGCAAGAACGGCATGAAGCCTCACATCCGCACACAGAAGTAGAAACGGCCTTCATGCCCGCTCATGTAACAGCCAATTATCGACCAGAGCCAAAAAATAAACAAAGTTTTCTGAAATGACAATAGGACATATCGATTGTAACAGTACTTCACAAGGGAAGTCTGCCTATACACCCGATCGATACCTATCAAATATTTGAACCTCTTACAATCGAGAAATATTAACACATTGTCAAACAGTAACATGCATTTGCTACACAACAGCTAATGTACTCTCGAATGTTTACATGTTTGCAAAACTTTTGACATGTACACAATGTACACAACTATGTTTACATAATTATGTGCGAGGTCCAATTGATCTAATGTGCCGTTTTTCGCTGTTCCGAGAAACACCGTGAGCCAGAATACAGTGGTCGCTGGTTCCACGACTAGTCAGAATATGACTGTCCATGAACTGTCAACATCATCTGGTTCCTAGGCTCCATCAGTGTCTAAGACCACATGCCAACACCCCTTGGCATGGCTGACATATTGTTAACTGCGTTCTCAACCATTCTCACCCACAATAACGTCATAGTTTTCTGTAAATGGCACAGTTTAAACGTAGAATCAGTTTGTTTGTATCATACCTGAGGTTTTAAGATGCCATGTGTAATACCTCATCAAGTCGTAACACGTTCCTCAGATATTGAACAAATTAACTGAAAGGGAACAGCATAACATGGTGATGAGAAAGTATATATTTGTAAGAAATAAGTTTTAGGATTGATAAAAACAATAGAGATAGATGACTTCTCGCTTTATCACATATACGGAAGTTAGAATACAACTGAATGAATGGTCTGCAAAACAAAAAGGATAGCTGGCTTCTCCCACAAACGGAACAGCAGAGCAATGAAAGATGAAACAGTGTGCGTTTACAACTACCATTGAAAGAAACAAAGGTGAAGATTTGATTGCAGATTTCAGCACTGTTTGAGGGGATGACCTGTGTCTTACCCAATTCTAATTTATTTATATTAAGTCGTCACAGGTTTTATCTGAATAATATACTTTGTTTGTTGCTTAACGCAGCACTCTGCAATATTCCAGCTATATGATGGCGGTCTGAAAGACAATCGAGTGATTGACACTATAAGCATCGATTCACGCAATTGGGACACGATGACATGCATCAAACCAAGTCAACGAGCCTGACCACCCGATCCCGCTAGTCGCCTCTTATGACAAGCATAGTCGCCTTTTACGGCACGAATGGGTTGCTGAAGACCTATTCTACCCCGGATCTTCACGGGTCCAATAGACTTTGACTTGAAAGGACGATACCTAGCTTCGAATAGAAATATGACCAGTAGAATATCAATTCAGAGGAAGTGCAGTCAACAATAAGACAAATGCCTAAAAATATGGGACACGTGTATTTGTCATAGATCTGGAAATAAATCCGTTATTTATAACAGTACCGTTGCTTCACTAGTGTACATTTTAAATATGTTTTGTGGTTTCAGGCTCATCGCCCCCATGCTATTCTACCGAGGATCGGTGTAGCCAAACTGACCCAAGAGGACTATCGCAGCGTGAGTAGAAGCATTGTCTTACTTACCTTTCATGCATAAACGAAGAACATGTTATCTGTAATGACAGGAATTAAATACCCCAGCGATTTCATTGAGTTTACAATTTCTTTTAGCGGTAGCGAGAACTAAGATCTGATTTTAATGAGATTGTGATGCAACTGAAATGTTGTTCAAGGCGGGGATTACCAATCTTACTCACTCACTCATTCTCCATAATTCGTATATTATTGCTTTAACTTATTAACGATGAAACTATTTCAGCTTTCACTGTTCCTTGGCCAGGTATCTGGGCGAAGTATTGGCATAACGGTCATGGGGTTATTTACAATCAACAGGCCAGCAATTATCACAGTAAGTTTCCCTGACTATTTGTACAAGCTACTCATATACACATAAGATTCAAATGTTAATTGTATTGTGTATTGGGATGGTAAATATCCTGTTATAGGGATGGGGCGGTGGGGTTGCCTGGTGCTTAAAGCGTTCTATCGTCACGCCGAAGACCCAGGTTCGTTTCCCAACATGGGTACAATGTGTGAAGCCCATTTCTAGTGCTCCCGCAGTGATATTACTGGGCTATTTCATTGCTAAATTCGACGTAAAACTATGCTTACTCACTCACTGTGATAAAGATAAACAGTGTGTTCAGCGAGTCTTAGAGAAAACACACTAACGTCTTAACCTATTGAACTATGACCAATTGAATCGTCAAAAACATTATCATCTCTAACAAACGGTACCAACACATTGCTTGTTAACCAGAAAAGTGTGATTTAATATATTACGACACAAAGTCATTGATCAGTTTGTTTTGGTTCAACTGATTTGAGCGGCATAAATATAAGCGGAAGTGGGAATGATCGTGGTATCTTAGTTAAATTATGTCATTCAAGTTGTCCTTCATAATCAGTCCCCCCGATGTGGATCTGTGGACATTAAACTTCATCTGTTGTGTCCCAGTAATTTGTCAATATATCCGTTCATCTCCGACAGAAAAGGCCAACATCGTGTGCCATGTTTGTAAATACTGAAAGAAGTGCAGTCTGACCCTTGTTTTCTTGCAAATATATCTGTAAATGCCCCTCGTTTGTATCCATTCATTTAATCCCGCCCAGAAACAGCCATTAAATGATAGAAAGCATATTCTATTTCTCCGTATTGCTGCGTGTATTGCTGTGTTTGTGTGCCAGTACGAAAGATGCAGAGACTTATGTGTACGGTATGAATACACTAAGTCAACAAGCGTTTTTCCCTGTCATACTGGTTGGTACGGGTGGCCTAGTCGTATAAGGCGTCGCAAAGATGTGCAGTGTTGCATCCCTTGGTCACGCCATAAACCCATGATGGTGGGTTCGAATCCCCCCGAATATGTTTCAATATTTGTCAGCACTGTACCCATCTTCCTGGATTTCATTAAAGTGGTACACGCCGCTGACTGCATCACTTCGGGCTTTCCTCCCACATTAAGCTGAAATGCCGTGATGTAACTGGAATACTGTTAAAAGCAGCGTTAAACCTAACCCACTCTATGAAACGAAGTCATATATACCCAACTAGAGGCAGGCCACTTCCCTCTAGAGTAACCAATGAGCCATGGTATGGTACAGGCAGACCATAGGTCATATTGATTCGGATACTATCTAGGATTCGAACTGGAAACTGGTCCAGTTATGAACCACTGTTTATCAGTAACATTCCTTCTAGTGTAAGACAACTTGTACATTACAAATATCAGATATACCGTTTGTTGAGCAGCGTTGATGACGAAGACACTTTTGATTCCCCGATGACATGTATTAAGTATACGTTTAAATTTACCGAACATCGAAACTGTGTCAAAGCAGAAGTGGAAGTGTTTATTAATGTAAGGTATATAATTGTGTCATCATGTCTGATGGTTTATTTAGGTATAAAAACTTGTGCTTCCAGTGTAATTCCCATTCGTCGTAATTCCTAGCCGCTTCCAGGCCGGATATAATATATTGATGGCTAATCTGCAAACAGATGACGGCGATGAATCCTTCTCACACTCTCGGGTGACAGAGCAGCGTGGTGATGCTTGTGTGTGATTTATGCGCGTGCCATTTCTCCTACTTTCCGCATAGAGTTTTACCGACAGGGAATATTTTGGCAGACAGGCATTGATTTACCATGGCCAAACCTTATTAGTCACCGTCGTGTATTGGCAGACCTTGGTCACAGCGTTAAAACATAATATGAATTGATGAAGGTTCTGTTGTACATCACTTCACGTACAATATGATCGCTATTCCGTCCAGAGGTAGTCGACGTTATTTGTTTTAAAATACAGACATCGATCCATACAAAATGGCTGGTAGGTTTATGGCTGGAACATCGAAGTGTGCTTCAACGGTACTGTTGAACATTTTGTAAAATACATGCTATATTTCGCGTAAACTTTGTACCCTGAGATTTTCTTACCTGTAGCCTACATTAATAATCTACTTACACCTCGATGATTATCAGTGGAGAAAAAACGTTGAGTGTCCCGCTCCAAGACACTGGACTTACAAGCAGAACATCGCGAACTTCCCGCAGGTCTCGATGCTACAAAGGCAAACGGAACATACACGAACTCCTGTGAGTGAGTGAGTGAGTGAGTTGGGTTTAACGCCGCTTTTAATAGTATTCCAGTTATATCGCGGCGTGTCAGCTTAATGTGGGAGGAAAGCCCGAAGTGATGCAGGTTCTCAGACGTTTACCACTTCGGTGAAACCCACGAGCACGGGTATGGTGCTGACAAACCTAGAAACATAATCGGGGCGAACCGGGATTCGAACCCACAATCATAGGTTTCTGGCGTACACAAGGGATGCAACTCTGCACAGCGGATCGCGGTGCCTTAGACGACTGGGCCACCCGTGCCCCATACACGAACTCCTGTAGAACCAGGGTTACATTTTAGTTACAAGTCATGGTACTTATTACACAGTTCAGCTCATGTGAGGGTATCGTACCCGCCTATCCTATATTTGTGAATATATCGGATGGGTAATATTTGTCAGCAACATCAGTGTTCTTGACTTTCACCAAATCTGTATACGTTTAAGACCTGCATCACTTCAGGTTCAGTCTCACAATCAAAATGATGTTAAAAGCAGCGTACAAAACAAACTCACTCACTCACACTAATGATGTTATCACTGTTTCTATTTCGTTTTTATCGTTTTTTTCACAGATCATAGGAACCATCATCGCCTATGCTGTTGTCATACAACAACTCAGCGTCAACAAAGTCAGGGTCACGGACTCCATGCCAAATGTTACCGTTAGCTCCAACGTTATACTCGACAGTGTCAGACACTAGTATTTCCTTTCTAATATAGTGAGGTTCGTTCATGACGTGAATCAATACAACTTTAATGTTCATGCTGACACACAAACATCGATTACCGCAATGTTTCAACGGGGTCGATGATCTGGATTGATTCTAATTTTATACTTATGTAATGTCGCAAAAAATAGGCGGTGGCACAGGGTCGTTTGAGGCGTCGCAATTCGCTCTGCACGGTTGAATCACTTGACACGCCAGAAACCTATGATCGCGCGCGGGAAACCCAGTTCGCCCTGTTTATGTTTCTAGATCTGTCCCGTGTTCATGGGTTTCACAAAAGTGGTAATCGTCTGAGACCTATTCACTTCGGGCTTCACTCACTCACTCAGAAATAGACACGTAACATTCTCCACATGATTGTGTGATGTCGCAACAGAGTCGACAAAAGACGTGACAGAATGTATAGGCTCGTGAGTGAGTGAATATGCTTTTACGCCGCTTTTAGCACTAATCCAGCAATATCACTGTAGGAGACACCAGAAATGGGCTCCGCATATATTACCCATTTGGGGGATCGAACCGGGTCTATGGCGTGATGAGCGAATGTTTTAACACTGGGCTACCCAACCGCCCCTAAATACTCGTGTACTGTTTCAGGCATCTATTTAATCGTGACACTCTTCTATGCTCGTGTCCTGTCCCAAATGTGTCCAAGAGACAGCAATTGAACCTCTGACACAAGTGGAGATTGTAAGACATGTTACAAAGGTTATAAGATTTTTATCTCTTACTGGTGAGTGTTTATAAACGCCCATTCGTCAATAATCATCCGTGTAGATATTTCAAGGTTTTTTACTTTATGATCATTCTGACATGTGTGAAGTTTTGAATGACAGTGGATTCGTGGAGTCGGTAATGGCGTTTAACACGATCAAAAAGACAATCTAAGAAGAAAAAGATGATCGGAAAAGAGGGAGAAATGAAGAAAGTTGTGAAAGAGAGAAGAGGTACAAGGCTGAGACGGTCGGACACCGCGGGTGAAAACACAGTCACGCCAAACCAACATTGCCGACATACATACAGTTCAAATTCAATCAAAGGCAGCGAAGACGTCGAAGGTATGTTCTCGCTACTTATGAGGGAAATGACCATCATGTGATGATACCTTTATCAGAGGATGTCGAACTTCGAGACAAATTTAGAAACAAAGCTGTCGGAGAGAAAAGTCAAACGAGAGATTAGTTCTGTTCGTGAGGAAATCGACCCTCATTTCGAAGCATTTGAGAGAAAGGTACAAGACTTCCAAAAGACACACTCAGATGTCATAAAAGTGAGAAAAGTGGATAATTCACTATTGACAAACCTTTTGTTATAAAGAACCTGAATTTTCACACAGTCGATGATACGGATTCTCGTTTGCCAAAGAACAAGATAGTGACGCTTCTGCGCGACGGTCGGAACCTTGGTGAAGTAACCGCCGACAAGGTTGAAATGAAAAGGCCTAGAGGTAAATACCTAGGTTTAGTCATAGCAAGTCTTGGTTCCTTGGAAGCTTAATCCGAAGTTATGAAGGCTCAATCTACGCTGAAATACTCTCGTAAATACAAGGATATTTATAATGAACATTGCACAAGGCCTGAAGAGAGAATCAATGATACCAACAGTGAACATTGATCAGAGACACAGGGAAAGATAACGCATACACAGTTAACCGAGAAGGATACATCACAAAACGCAACACATC